GTGCTGGCACAAAAACCGTATGGAAAAGCCGTTGATGTGTGGAGTATTGGAGTAATATCATACATTCTATTATGTGGCTATCCTCCGTTTTATGATGAAAATGATGCTAATCTGTTCGCTCAGATTTTAAAAGGTGTTGTAAAAAAACAACTTCGGAAGTTTATATTTAAAAAAAAATTTTTTTATAACCTATGTTATACATAAAATTTGATTATTTCTACTTGAGGGTGTTAGCTGAGCATGCAAGAATATATTATCAGCACAAATGGGAGTCTGTAATAAGAAATTAAATACTTCATGGTTTCTGATATAAAAAAAGCTTAGTCGCTTAAACTTCTGACTTGTTTAACTTCGGTAAGCCGATGTTTATAAGCTACTACTTGATCTAACCATTTCCGTCTGTTTGTGTAAACGCTGCGCTAACAATAGCAATACTTTTATTGCCCGTAACTCGTAGAGTAAAATAGTGTGTTAGATTCGTCGAAAAGTTTATAACAGATAGGAATACCTTGTGCTGCTCCAGAATTTCTAGAATCTGCATGCCTAATCTCAAATTTAGCTTTTATACTTTCCGAGATAACAGCGTTTATACGGACGGACGGACGGACGGACCGACTAGTTCAACTCCGCTACTGATCCTAATCAATGTACTTTACTCTACGAGTAACGGGTATAAATATCTATCCAAAGGTTGGGATACGTGTGACTAAACGACGGTCTATAACAAAAACAGGAATAATAATATAAACAGGGAAGAACGAAATATTCGAGTGCCTCGACTATCAGATACCCGTTACTCAGCTTAAGTGAGCAAAAGGAAGATGGAGATATACAAGCACCAACGCCAACTCGCGATTTCTATACATAGTTGTGTGGGTGACAGACAGATTCAAGCGTTATGGGCGTTAGATTAGGTGTGGCAAACTTTTAACTTTTTTTAGGTCAATAAGGTATGGACGAAAACAATATATATCAGTTTAAAATTTTCTAGGACTAAAACAGTAGGAGTCACCGTTTGAAGTCTCAACTCTCTAGCTCTTATAGTTTCCGAGATCACAACGTTTACACTGACAGACGGACATGGCATATCAAGAATATATAAACTTAATGGAGTCGGAGACACTTCCTTCTACCTGTTACGTACCTTTTCCCTTTTACTCTACGAGTAACGGGTATAAATATACAACTAGTTATACCCGTTACTCGTAGAGTAAAAGGGTATACTAGATTCGTTGGAAAGTATGTAACAGGAAGAAGGAAGCGTTTCCGACCCCATAAAGTATATATATTCTTGATCAGGATCACTAGCCGAGTCGATCTAGCCATGTCCGTCTGTCCGTATGAACGCTGAGATCTCGTAAACTATACAAGCTACAATACTGCGATTAGACATGCAGATTCCTGAGATCTCTACGCAGCGCAAGTTTGTTTCAGCAGAGTACCACGCACACTCTAACGCCCAAAAGCCGCCCAAACCTGTGGCGCCCACAATTTTCATGCTAGATAAAAAATTTAAACTGAAATGTATTGGTCTCGTCAATACCTATCGATTGATTCAAATCACCACGCCCACTCTAACACCCATAACGCTTAAATCTGTCTACCGCCGGTAGGTGGCGCATTTCAATCTCGCTTTGCTGCTTGCATTTCCCTTTGGTCCCATTAGCTGAGTAATGGGTATCTGATAGTCGAGGTACTCGACTATAGCGTTCTTCCTTTTTTTTTAATTTTACCAAGAAACATTTGTTTTTTTCCGCCTTCAAAGCCGTCGTAACCTGTGTATTATTTATACTGCCAGCCAGAACCCAAACACACCGCCCCCAAAAAAAAGTTGGCCAAAATATTACTAACATTTATTCTAATCTTAGGAGAATTTGAATTCGATTCACCCTATTGGGATGAAATAAGCGAGTCCGCCAAACATTTTATTAAAAATTTAATGTGCGTAGCAGTGGAGATGCGATATACATGCAAGCAAGCTCTGGCCCATGCCTGGTAAGTGTTAAATTTCTAAAGATAATTAATAAGGAATACAAAACAATGAAGTAGAATTTTGATATTATAGTTTAAACCTATATATTTTACCCTCCTTATCTAGGATTTCCGGAAACGAGGCCAGCAGCAGAAACATTCACGGAACCGTGTCAGAGCAACTGAAGAAAAACTTCGCAAAATCCCGTTGGAAGGTTCGTTCTTCAAATTTATTTACGATAATATTCATTTTTGTTTCACTTGTACAGCAAGCTTACTACGCGGCGACAGTGATCCGACAGATGCAGCGAATGGCGCTAAACAGCAATAGCAGTGCAAATATTGATTCTACTGGCGTTTGCAGTAACCAAAAAGACTCTAAAAATCCAACAGCGTCTGGATCATCCAACTCCAATGTTTTATCAGAGCAGCAATCTGCACAAAGTCATGCACAAGATGTTAGCGAGCCGGTAGGCAGCACAAATGGAGCTTCACAGTAGCAAAGTTGAATATCAAAAAATTATGTTACATATATGCTGTTTTGAATTACATTTTTGAATTTTAACGATTGTTCTAGTCTAGTAAATATGTCATATTTACTAATCGGATAATTTTTTCAATCGAAAATACCAAACAAATAATAACATATGAATGTGCGTACACCTGCACTAATCCATCTCCTTATAATATACAAGATGTAAGGCTACTATTTAACCAACGCAATACACTATTAAAATTCAATCCGTCGTTTAACATGTCTGTGAATAATACATTATTAAAGCGAGGATCTCACTGTAAAAAATATGACGCCAGTACGAACAATTTGGTTTTGTATCCAATCATGATTTCTGGATGGATTTGTTTTATTATTCAGACCCCATACAAGCTCGTTTTGCAATTTTAAAGGTCGTTTAACAAATTACGCGACTTGCCTGTGCAGAAATTTAATTTCCTTTATGGCATTGGACTGAAAAGTCATTTGATACAAAACTACAGATGCATAATTAGAAATAAAAGATACAGTAAAATATCGTTAAAATAAACAAATCTACTTCTCCAATTAGGGAATTGTATTTCTTGTCTTAGTTTTACAACTTATTGTGAAGGCCTAAAGTTATTTTTTTTAATAAAGGCCTCAAATGGAATTTTGTAAAAAAAATGTGTTAATGTAAAACATAGTTCAAGGTATCAATGCTGCCTTCGGCCAGGTCTGCTGTATTTGTGTGGCCAGAACGCGCCAGAGATTTGTATATATCTCGGGGACAAAATGCGAAACGAGCACCGGGATTTTAACAACAGAGGTAGAAGATGTTAGTAGGGAGGGGGATTCGATTCGTCGCCGCCGAAACAAGTCCAAGTATAAGCAGTTGGTACATCGTCAGTCCTGTGAATGTCAAGTCGTCAGCAGTCACCAAGTTTATCGGGCCGCCCTATTGCTTTTAAGATCCGTTTCACCGAACGTCTATCATATACATAGTACTAAATAAGCAAGGTCCAGTGCCTCACATTATTAAAAATTAATTATTTCTGAAAAAGCCAAAAATATTTAAATTTGGTAAACTTACAGAAAAAACTGCCACAACAAAAATATAAAAAGTGAGTTCCCTCTCATTTTACTTTACTTCTCAAAAAATAAAAATAAATGTCCTGAATGATATATTCGTAAGAATTTTATTTTTGATAAATTCGTTTTTTGTAGTGCTAGCAATTGTGCTACCGATTAGCTGTTTTGGCTGCGGCGCCATGGCCGCTAAATAAACCTGTTCACCAGCTGCGTACTACCCAAAATCACCGGCCCCGTTAAGAACCCCTTCACTAAAATCCAAACCGACAAGTTTGGAGACAGAATGAACAGTAATCCTAAAGACCAGGTCACCCTGGCGAATCGGCTCCGTCCTCCGGCATCACTACTCGCGGCCCCCCTGCCAGGAACGGCCCCTAAATAGTCGTGGTGTTCATTTTAATGAAGTGTGCTGAATGAGATCGTATAATTTTTTTTGATATCAGAACTTTTGTATGTTGGAAGTGCGATCGTCTCTAAGCACTGTTCGGACGCTAATTAATAAACATTACCCCTAAATCTGAAGCATAACACGATTTGTTTGACATACATTGATTATTATTTATTATCGGGGGCGTTTTGCCCTGCCTCTGGGAAGAGCAGCATGCCTTTCCCACTCCACTCGCTTGTTTGTAGGGAGCTTGTACGCAAGGTCTTCAATTAGCGTTGGATTCGTCAACGCCATTGCTTGTTTTCTAGATCTTGGCGTTTATATCGACAGACAGCCAGTCGGACGGGCATAGCTAGAGCGACTTGGCTAGTAATCCTAGTCAAGAAAATACATATACACTTTATAGGGTCGGAAACGCTTCGTTCTACCTGTTACACACTTTCCGAGGAATGCAAAGTTACGTTACTCTACGAGCAACGGGTATGAAGCTCTGTTGTCTGACTGACCTCCAAATAATCATGTATTTCAATTCGGTGTCATGCAGGCGTAGGATCCAGCTATTGACGTCGTCGTCGTGTCTTTCTGAATGCTCACACCCACCGGTGCCAGTACACGCGCTGTCAACGCTGCGCTTGTTGCACAAAATTGTGTATGATGACTGCTACTTGCTAACTGTGCTGGCTCCCAAATGCAGCAGCTTGTTTTTTGTATACTTGTTTATTGCTTATCGCTGACAATACTTACGTTGTTCGGAACTCTTAAGCCTTCCATCTCCATCTTCAACTATGTGATTTTTTTAATAAATCCAACATTGGAGGATGGATTTGTACTGCTAAAAGTTTTATGCTAGGAAGCTGTCACCCTAATCGCAGTGGTCTGACTAGGAATCAATGGCGTCGTAGTAGTTACTTTCTACTTCACCATCTGTCTGTCCCAGATGAAGGCGCCGCACTCGTTCTTACATGGGCCACCTGGTCCACTTTCTTTATTTGATGTCCCTGTAAGCATTCGACTTACAATCGTTTAAATAAATTACAAATTTTGTATGCGATTTCTGTGTCGGTCATTTACTAGAAGTAATGAGTTCAATCACTTTATTAAGAGATACGAAGTTTTATTTAGGGCACATATCAACAAATTTGTCGTACCGAATAGTAGCTGTGAAGGCAAATAAATTTTGATTTTATAATTAGAAGTTCCGTCTGTAAAAGAATGCGGAGAGCCTTACGATCGCAAAACAATTTTAACTATTTTAAAAAATGTTAAATAAGGCATTAACTTGCTATAATGACGAAGCAAAGTCCTGTGCGGTATGTCTGGGTTAAAGTTAAAAAAACTACAGAACATATTCAGGAGTGTCACACAAACCGTCGACGGTTTTGAGGACGGTTGCTTTTGAAACCAACAAACCAAAATCCTCGATCTCACAGAATTTATAGAATTTCGGAGTAAATTTGGACTGGTTTTTGGAAAAAATTTTTGTCTACTCATTTTAAAACCGGTTTCTGTGACACAGAGATGTACTTTTGGGGGGAAATTTGATTGGAAGAGATTTCTGTGACACCCCTGTATATAACAAGCGCGACAGAATGTTCCTCTTTTGGTTGCTTAGGCCTGACAGCATTTTGTTTCGATAAACTAGACTTTTCTAAGCCACTACACCTATATGATTCATGTTTGTGATATAAGCAAATATGCGAATAAAAATTATTATTATCTTAACTTAATCACACCGAGAATACCGGTGTAGTGACAACTTATGCTGAATAAAGCCTTATTTATAAAAATAAAAAGCCATCAGGCGTGGACAACCAAAAGAAGGAAATTCTGTCAGGCTGTGTCATTTAACTAAATAAAGTTAAAGTTACTTTTTCTTATTTCGCCTCTTTTTTTTCTCAGACCCATGGACTCTTTTTTTTGTCACACAAACGCGACAGAACCAATCGTCGTTGTCCTTAGGGGCAAAAGTAATTCCCACACAAATCCTAAAATGAAATATCATCGTAAGTAAATTTAGCAGATTGGGTTCAGTATTATCATACCAATGATACCACGCATCGCAGCCATCACATCCAATCATAGCAGAACCATCGTCTACCTTTCCACAAGCCGGACAAATCCATATACGATTACCCTCGGCGTCAACGTATGACGATGGACGACTTGTTTCTGCAATATGTGAATTCTCTTCTGGAATATTTGCTGGTGAGCTGAACAAGCCAGTTTTAGGCGCGGACCCTCCACTACTGGTCGTTACTGATGAGAAGTTATTTATGATCGTATTAGATGACAACATCAATTGCTGTGGTAACAAAACTGAGCTAGCCGAAAGCGTGGACGACGCAGCATTACTGTTACTAGGGTTCGACAGCCAACCGGCTGAGCTGGACGAGGTTTGACTTATGGATATCTGCGACGTTCGCGTAGGTATTGGGGAAGGTTCTGGTATTACTTGGGTAGAATTAACGGAACTGTTGCTTAAAAGAGGTCCTGCATTTGATATGCCTAATAAATGTGTATCAGCTGAAATTAATGTGAAGGTTTTATCATGTTACTAAAGTGATCAATTAACAACCCTACGTACATTGTTTGCTCTTAGGCGGCCCGGTGACCAATGGGGAAAACCGGGCTAGCTCCGGAGAATTATCTCGCTCTCGCTCTTTCTTTTCTACTGGAAGTATAGTTTGCTGTTTAACCTTTCCTGTATCCAGCGTGTCTTTCTCTTTTTCAAGAGACGGAAACGTTGTGGATTTGCCACTTAGTTTTAGTGTTAGTTTTGGTATTTGACATTGAGGCTGCTGTATCTTTGGAGACATTGCACAAGTGGCCGTTATTGGTGATTTTATTGGCTTTGGACTTGATTTCATCACAGGTGTACTCACGGGTACACTTTGAGTAGAGGCATGATCTAAGTTGTTTATTAAGGGCGCCCTGGGAAATTCGTCGACATCCGGAATATGAATTAAAATCTGAAAAGATAAATGAATCATTTGCAATAAAACGAAAAAGAAGCTTTTCTTTGTAACCAGTGGACACCACCCAGAATATCCTCACAAAAACCATATAAGAACGAGAAAGGAATTTATCGTTTATGTTTAAGTTTATGTACCCTTGCAGTTATACCAAACCTAAAACGGCATTTTGGAAAAAATTCGTTCTATGATATTTATTGGGTATTCGATAAAACTACCGATATATCCAATAAGTTCTTAAGACATATCGACAACAGATTCCAACTCGCCTAGTGATGTTAAGGAAACTACGTTAAATGCGAGAGTATTAAAACCATATCATGTATATTGCACCAGAGTTGCACCACCTCTACGTACCAACAAGTAGGAAAAAACATATTTTTATTGCGCATTAATTTTAAAATTTAGACAAAAACTTGTATTACTATTAAAAAAAACTCACAGAAATATAATTAAGAGACTACACTTAAATATTATTGGGCTTTATGATTCAAATTGAAAATTTATTTTTTGTCAATTTTTTTTAATCCAGGACCTTAAGTAATCCCATAAAAAATATCTGATACAAATTAAATTCGTTTTGATTCAGTAGATTTTAAGATATTATGTCCCAATAATATTCATTTAAATTGTTTTTCAATTGGATTTTAGCCCTAAAAAACAATTGTAAGCAAATTTGGCCTAAATTACTTGCATAAGGTTTTAGCACAGTTACGTGTCCATCCATATACTTTTGTAGTTATTGAAGCGAACTGAATCCATTGGTATTTTGAAGTAAACATTTTGTGTAATGTCAAGGGAGAAAAACTTTGTACTTCCGAGTATCGGTCAGGAAAACTTTTTATTCTTAACAATTTCTTTTGATATAATGGAATTATGACCAACCTGTTTTTCCTTATCCTTCTTTTTTTCCTTTTTTTGCTTTTTGTCAAGCCCTTTTATTTTTCGGTCACTTTTATAAGACGCTATCCCAGCTCGATCTTTTCTTTTTGATTTATCCTTTTTGTCCTTTTTCTTTTTAATTTTTCCATCTTTGATCTTTTTTGGCTTTTTATGGTGTTTGCGCACTTTGAGATCTACCGACATCGCTCCGGTGGGTGTAATAGTAATATCATCGTAGTTTGAAAATGTTGGCATAAATTGCTGATCTTCAGATATGTGATTTGGTAAAATAGGGTTTACGCCTGAAGCCACTCCCCCTGTCAAGCTACTGGATGGCACCTTTTGGGATGAATATGCCGAGCCGCAATCTATTCTCGCCAAAGGGATTAGATCCGCTCCACCAGCTAAACTGAACTTATCACCTCCTATAAAATTTGGCAAGTTGAATTGAGGAAATGATGACTGGGGAGCAGCGGTGTGAATTATGTTTTTTACATCGGGAAGGTTCAGTTTAACTGACTTTTTTAACTTCTTAATTGCTTCACTTGAGCTTGAATTAGGCATAGTATTCCTTAAATCCAGTTGGTTCTTGTCTTCGCATAAAGACGATGAAGGCGCAAACGATTGAGACTGTGATTGTACTAAGCTCGCTCTGGCGTTGTTTGGAGAAGGCAATGGAGATCTGTTTTGAACCAGCTGTCTGTTTTGTATCGATTCGTCTGAGTCATCGGATACCTCAATCGGATCACCAAGATTTCCAGAAGCCTGTACTAATGGTCTTGATTTAAATTTCGGTGGAGCCTGTGGTGCAAATGTATTTTCCATGTCAGTAATACCGCAAGTTACTGGTTTACCTACAGTTAAATTAAGTTAATATTGCAGTACTTATATTTTTACCAATAAACTTACAATCAGAAAATTTCATAGAGTCTGGCACCAACGGAGCAACATTGCAGTAGTTTCTATCAATTTGCAAGTCCATCTGTGCGGATCGCCTTAGGAATTGATCAGTACCAGTATCTTGAAAAAATTTCATTAATAGGACAATTGCTTAATAATAATATTTTTATTGTGCACTTTAACCGAATAAACCTAAGGCTTCTTTCTTTCTTAAAAACAAAATAGTATTAACCTTATCAACCGTATAAAGTATATTTATTCTTAAAGGTCATCATCATATGTGCCATATCCATTTGTCAGACGATTTCAATACCGTTTGCGATCTTAGGTTAAAATATATCAAAATTAAAATTTTTAGGTCGTAATAAAATATGTGCACGCAGATAATGCTTGAAAATGATCCTGATCGGATGTCCTATAGCTCCAAATATTTAAACTTAACAAATGAAATCATTTCTACAATGTATAAAAAATCTTCGGCAAGTATAGTAAACATAAACAATGTTAAAAAAATAACCTGCACTCAAAAGTTATTTGGTCTTCAACGTTTTAAAGCCATTTACAAATCAGGACGTTTGAGAAAGTATATCGTTAGTGATTCATTTCGTAGATTCCCGCTTGTTTTTCTATTGTAGAATTCTTAAAGTATTAAAAATTCTCGATCGATAATTTTTAAAACGCATATTGAGGTATACTACAATATTTGATATGTGGTTGATACAAATTATAATAGGTTATGTTATGATTTTCACGTACCAGCAGAATCTTTAATTGGTGGACATCTAACGGTGTCCGCAACAGATCCTTCTGAGCCCGGATAAGCTATGAACGGTGCAATGCCGACTCTGTTGTTATTATTTCCAAAGCCGACCAGTCCGGTTACTGCAGGAAAAAGACCAGGTCCTGAAGGAATTAATCCTGGTCGTGGTGGAAAGTGCAATAGAGGAAGCAATGGAACCATTCCTGTTTGGTTGCCAGGATACATTGATGAATTGGATAACGTGTTGGAAACTGTCATATATGGATCCGGACAGGCTGTTTCGTTCTTTTGTTTCAAAAGATGTATTGAATTAGTTAGGGTTGAGGATGTTGTTTCGGGGGAATATACCTTGTTTAATTCCTTTAAGTTTTGTGGTAAGTTCGAGTCATATTTTAGTTTGTACTTTTTTCTTTCCTTTTTATCTTTTGCGTGAAAGTTTGGTATATATTCGATAGAGGCCTGATCTGTGTTACACAGGTTCAGAGGCTCTGTTGGCATAGATACGTTTAAGGAATTTTGTGATAACAGCATCGTAGAAGACGCTAGCGGGAGTGCAATTACATGCGATGACTTTTCCTTTTTAGCCGATTCAATAAGCGAATGTGATGTAAAATTTATTTGTTTTACTAGGTTTTTTCCTCCAGGTTTCCGGCCCCGCTTTTTTGGCTTCATCGAATCAATAATTGACATTTCTACGTCGGCTTTAGGAGAAGATGGCGTTTGACCCAATACACCATATTGGTTAATTTTCATATTAGGAACGTTTGCGTTCTCCGGATTCAGCCCTACCGGAGGTGTAGGTGTTATAGTAGTCCCAGATGGGAGACTAATTAGTGGCGGAGCAGTTATAGTACTTCCAAATACACGTACTCCTATTCCAGGAGGTACCGAAATTGCTCCACCATCCTGACGGGGGGTGCGGGGCTTAGAAATTTTCTTAAATATATCCAACTTACTTCGTTCCGGTTCTGATGCATTTTTTTTTGATGGCAATGATACTTGCGATTGTTGTGTTCCCCCTGGCTGTACTGGAAAAACTGAACTTTGAGAATCATTCTCAATTTGCTTCATAACTACAGGCGCCGCACTAGGGATATCAACTGGAATCGAATTTTCTGTATTCAAGTTCGCTTCAATGGGAAAGTCGCTTATAGTTTGAGAATGTTGTAAGTAATTTTTCCCATCAAGATCAAGTTGAACACTCTTTTGCTTATGCTTAGCCTGCTTCTTTAACATCTTTTCTATATGTACTCTATTCGGATCGGATAAGCTGTTTCCGCGATTGACTCGCTTTTTAGACTTTTTCATGTGCAGCATTTGAGTATTAGAAGTGTCATTTTGGTTCTTCGAATGTTTTTGATACATTTTTAAAGCCTTTCGTTGGGATTTTTCTTGAGACTTTCCGAAAGAGTTATAGGATTTATCCCTTTGACCAGGCTCGCCTGTTAAGTCCGGTTTCTGTTTTCTGTTCTTCTTCGATATTGCAGCAGACAACGCGGATGTCATCGGAGGATTGTTAGGTGAAAATAACAAAGATGGCTCCGCGTTTTCACTTGTCAATAATGCAGCATTTTGGTTGACCTTTTTAGTTTCTGAATATTGGGGGGGTATTACTTTTCGTGAATTTACTGCTGCTTCTTTTTCGCATGTAACCAATTCTTTTTCAGAATGCTCCAAATGGTTGATAGCTATCAACGAGGGAGGCGGTGCGTCTAAGCCTTTAAATTTTTCTAGAAATACAGATTACGTGAGTATCTTAAACTAGGTTGCCATAAGGCTAGGGCGTACCAATTATATCCGGTATAAAGGCTTCTGGCAGTTTCCCTTCGATGGCTGGACTAATAAATCCGCCTGTAGTCATTACAACGCTGCTCATTTCACGGACTGAACGACCAACATCCGAGTCAAAGGAATTTGATGGAAAGTTTATCACCGCGTTCGGAGAACGGGAATCGATTTGATTGGTGCCCAGTTTATCCACCGGACTTGTCGCATCGAACTCTGCCTTGGACACAAATTCTAGTTTTTGTGCAAATTCCTTATGAGCTTCGGCCTGAGTCTCCCGCGGCTCAGGGTCCTGCATCGGCGGCAAATACTCAAATATATAGACAGGCCGTGTCAGGGTCTCTGCGCTTCCAGGTTTAAGAAAGTTCATATTCACAGCTTTTCTGATAGGGAACTGGGGCACATCTCTGGTGAAACCGACAGGCTCGACATTCCCGATGTAATCCAACAGTTCCTGAACATTAATGTTAAGATTTTTCATGCTGAGCTGTGCATCCCTAAGACTAGGCTCGATACGATTTGCTAAAATAGTAAATATTTCAAATTTTAATTTAAATTAAATAATGTTTTAATATCCCCTACGATCCCGACCAAAATGTAGTCACCGAAGGCTATCTTATCATCAAGTAATTTTTAATGTACATAGCATATAAAAACAAGACTACTGGACAATTTGTATAGCGGTAGATTGAGATTGAGTCGTGAACTACACCTACCGTGTTCCATATTACAATGGAGGTCTCGGGCAAACTCCTGCGTAAACTTCTGCATTATGTCCTGCAACAACTCCAATGGGGCACTCAGAGTGCAGCTGTAACCAATAGTTTGTGTTATCTGCGCAATAACAACAAGAGCCAAATCTGAAGCATATTTGTCTGCCATTGTTATTCTTCATGTGTACGGCACACCCGTGCCGTGCAGTTACTTGACCCGACTCGTGTTACATGTACAATCAATTAAACGCTTTACACAGGCGGTTACTATAACTTGGGCAATGAAAAACTGTATTGCAGCGGTTATGTTTTCTTTTGTGTACACCTTAAATTTTTCTAATATTTAGAGATGAGAGATCGACACATCACTACCTACCATGCTTTTGTTTTTCTTCTCGCATCTAATCGGTTTCAGGCGTTATACACTCTACACACACAAATCGCAACAGTGAATTAAGCGGATTCCTGTTGGCATAGTGAATCGCTGGAGCAAACAGGTGATCGGCATAAGCAAACCCTATCCGAAAAAAGAGGACTTGCCAATTCAGTTACTCCGAAAAACCGCGCAGAAATTAAATACATTTTGAACGCTAGCATGTGGAATGTTTTCAGCGCCAAATGATTATTTGATTGCTATTATAACACCTACCTACATTCATTTTTAAGCAACAGTTTAAACAGGATGATGTGCCTTCTAAATGTTTTTCTTTTGTACATAATTTATGTTTTGGTGCAACAGTCGCCAGGTCTTGCCAAGAAGGGCATAAAGAGCATAGCGATATTTCTTTTCAAGATGAGATCAAATGATGGGTGCTTGGGTCTGCACCAACAACGATTTCCTTATAACGGCGCCAGTTCAAATGCATTCCCTTCTCAAAAAATCCCGAAACGGCAAGTACAAACACTGGAATACTGAATCGATTAGCGTGTGCGGTCCCATTTACCGCAGCCTAGTACTCAGATCGGCTAAGAGTTTCACACGTTGTAGTGTGACCGAAGTTTTCAAAGTTCACCCGCAATGCATGTGGCATGGTCTTACTGTCAAGCAGCTGGGCTTGTCTCCAAACGGAAAACTAATCAATTGGAGCAATTTAAAATAAAAATAAAGGAAATGTTCAACGAATTTTTTTTACTTATGTAAATTATAAGTTTAAGGCTTCCTTCTCGTCCCACTGGTGCTTCGCCATCTTTCCCGCGCCATTTGTTGTCCAGCTCCGAGTCCCAACAGGCTGGCCAATAATGGCTGGTGATGGCTCCTCCAGCTGTCCCTTAGCGGGCGACCTTATTTTCTCCTCCCTATAGAAGCCGACGCGTCCTCCATCTCCGCTTTAGCTGTCAAGTATCTGGTGGAGGTGGAGTCCTCAATGGAGAGCTCGTCGGAGATCGAGCGATGTCCTATGTTCCTTACCGCTGGGACTCTCCAGAGCTCCAACTACTCCGCGGATTTGCCCCGTTGTGGTATTGCTTTCTGTCGGTCCAGTCCCACAATAATGGGCAACAGCTTAGATTATGCGTCCTTTTTCATCTGCACTGACCTCCTTTAGCCGCTTTTGGTGGATTTCTTCCATTTTTAATTTTTAAATTCCCCACCGCTTCTGCACGAACACCGCCAAAGATTATATTTCTTATTCTTTGGGCCGCGGCTAACGGCGTTCATCGAAAATTCACTCGCGAAATTTGGTATTTTTTCTGGTATTTCCTTAGCTTATCTGAGTACCGCGCTGAAAAACAGACCCGACGAAAACCTTTTGCCACCTGTTTGCCTCTCGCTCACTCCTATGGTTAGCTCATGGTTTCAGATCGGCTAAGAGTTTTACTAGTCGAAAATTCTTATTCTTTGTAGTGTGACCGAAGTTTTCAAAGTTCACCCGCAATGCATGTAGCATGGTCTTACTGTCAAGCAGCTGGGGTTGTTGCCAAACGGAAGACAAATCAAATGGAGAAATTTAAAAAGAAGGAGTCTGTTGGTACACAAAGAAATTTAAATAAAAATAAATGGAATGTTCAACGAATGTTTGCATTTATGTAAATTAGTAGTTTAAAGCTTCCTTCTCGTCCCACGGATGCTTCGAAATCTTTCCCCCTCCACCGCAGTACAGCTCCGAGTCCCAATAGGCATATTGGACCTTGAGGAAGTGGGCGAACGGGGTTGATCCGCTGATGCTGCAGGAAGCCGCCCAGCATCCTGGCAGTGGCTGGCTATGGCTTCTCCAACTGTTCCTTAGCGGGCGCCCTATTTTCCTCCTCCTTATAGAAGCCAGCGGGTCCTCCAGCTCCGCTTAAGCTGCCAAGTAGCTGGTGGTGGTGGTGTCCGAAGTCCTAATGGAGAGGTCGTCGGAGATTGTATTACTGGTGGTTCTGCCAAAAAGATACTTCTATTAGTACAACGCAACCAAATTATTTTGGCCAGATCTTACTTTCTTTGTGAGGACGCGCCCGGCAGGATGTCCATGTAGAGATCGAAGTCCTACTCGGCATGTTCCTTCCCACTGGGATTCTCTAGTGCATCTCCTCCAGCACTTCAACTATTTGCGAATTTGCCCTTTTTGTGGAATTGCTTCCTGGCGGAGAAATCCCACAATAAAGGGCATAAGCTTGGATTTGGCGTCCTATTTCATCTACTCTAACACCCTGCATCCGATTTTGGGGTTTTCCATCCATTTTTAAATTTTGGTTTCCACATCGCCTTTGCACGAACACCGCCAAAGATTAAATTTCTTATTCCTTAGACCGCGGCTAACGGCGTTCATCGAAAATTCACTCGCGAAATCTGGTATTTTTTCTGGTATTTCCTTAGCTCATTTGAGTACCGCGCTGAAAAACAGACCCGACGAAAAACTTTAGCCGGGTATTTGCATCTCGCTCACTCCTATGGTTAGCTCGCGGTTTTCGTCGATCTGAGTACTAGGCTTTAAGGTGAAAAAGGCGCTAACGAAAAGCGTTTTCCGCCTATTGCCTCTGGCTCTCTTCTATAGCTGGCTTACTGATGTAAATAGGCATTGAATTGATGGTGGATCGAAAGAGGGTATAATATAAACGTTCTATTATCGTAAGAAATGTATACACCATAATAAATGCCTTTAATATGTTTTTCATTACGTCCAAATCAACATACGGTCACTTTAAAATAAATATGTAATATTTGTATGTCAAATGTTAGCTGACAAATTTTCATACCTTTTTGTTGTATTTTTTAGTCAGTTTAGCTATTGTTTTTCACTATTTTACAAATATTGCGTTCGTTGCGTATGTTTAATCTTAAACGAATGAATTAAATGTATAATTCCACCAATGAAACTAAACGGACTAATTGTATTTTGTAAACACATATATGTAAATATGGTTGTAGATACGTACTTTTATTTTGGCGTGAACAAATATTGATACGATAAAAAAAATGTGTATTTTCAACTATTATCCGCAGCATGAGTACATTGACTGTTTTCTACATGTATTGCATAATTTTCTGTAAACACATATCTATTCTGTTATGTTGCCTATTATTTTTATTCCTTGTAAATTTGTTTGTTAGACAAACTAATTTTTATGCATTAAGAATTCCCGGTCGATAGCTGCTTTTGAAATTTATAGTTGAGTTCAATTCTAAGAAAGTAAGATAAAAATGAATTTGTGATCAAATGTTTCTTAATCGATACCTTATTGCCTCGTGACTTTTGTATGTACATACATACATATGTACAGCGAGCTCTAACAGTATCAATCTTACGTGCACTGATTTAAAGGTTGGAAATAAAAGCTGATAGCGTTTGCCTTCCTTTTAAGGTATATTTAAAAAAATCTTGTATAATAAACAACAAAAACATTTTCATACTTTTTCAAAATAATGTTAACTTTTAAAGGGCTTGTAAAAATTAATAGTCAAATTTTCAAACTACCCAAAAATTTAAAGTTCGTAAAGGGTCGGGAAAGGGTTTTTAGGCTTAAAAAAGTCTACTAAATTATACCCTTGCGGAGGGTACTATGATTTTAGTCAGAAGTTTGCAACGCAGTGAAGGAGACGTTTCCGACCCCATAAAGTATATATATTCTTGATCAGCATGACTAGACGAGTCGATCTAGCCATGTCCGTCTGTCCGTCTGTCCGTCTGTCCGTCCGCTTCTACGCAAACTAGTCTCTCAGTTTTAAAGCTATCGGGCTGAAACTTTCTTAAGACTTATTTTTTTCGCAAGTAGTATATAAGCCGGAACCAGCCGGATCGGACAACTATATCTTATAGCTCCCATAGGAATAATCGGGAAAAAAATTAAGAAAAATTATATCTTTGGTGTTTTTTAACCTATAACCTCCTACGCTTGGAAATAACATTTTTTAATTAGTTCTGAATTTCGAATTTAATTTTATCAAAATCTGACGACTATATAATATAGCTGCCATAGGAACGGTCGCAAAATTGGTGGGAAAATAATATAAAACAAATTATAGCTTCGGTGTTTATACCCGTTACTCGTAGAGTAAAAGGGTATACTAGATTCGTCGGAAAGTATGTAACAGGCAGAAGGAAGCGTTTCCGACCCCACAAAGTATATATATTCTTGATCAGGATCACTAGCCGAGTCGATCTAGCCATGTCCGTCTGTCCGTCTGTCCGTCTGTCCGTCTGTCCGTCTGTCTGTCCGTCCGGATGAACGCTGAGATCTCGGAAACTATGGAAGCTAGGCTATTGAGATTTGGCGTGCAGATTCCTGAGCTTCTTACGCAGCGCAAGTTTGTTTCGGCACAGTGCCACGCCCACTCTAACGCCCACAAACCGCCCAAAACTGTGGCTCCTACAGTTTTGATGCTAGAATAAAAATTTTAACTGAAATGTATTGTTCTCAGCAATACCTATCGATTGACCCAAAAAAAAGTTTGCCACGCCCACTTTAACGCCCACAAACCGCGAAAACCTGTGACGCCCACAATTTTCATGCTAGATAAAAAATTTTAACTGAAATGTATTGGTCTCGTCGATACCTATCGATTGATCCAAAAAAAAATTTGCCACGCCCACTCTAACGCCCATAACGCTTACATCTATACCGCCGGTAGGTGGCGCATTTTAATCTCGCTTTGCTGCTTGCATATCTTCATATAGCTGAGTAACGGGTATCTGATAGTCGAGGTACTCGACTATAGCGTTCTTCCTTGTTTTTAACATATAACCTCATACGCTTGGAAATTACATTTTTAAATTAGTTCTGAATTTCGTATTTAATTTTATCAAAATCGGACGACTATATTATATAGGTGCCATATTAACCGGTGGACAATTGGTGGGAAAATAATATGAAACAAATTATAGCTTTGGTGTTTTCTGACATATTATCTTATACTATTGGGAATATCATATTTTGCATTTTTAATTTTTATAATTATAACTGAAAGGGTATACAAACTTCGGCTTGCCGAAGTTAACTTCCTTGTTGTTATTTACATTCTCAGCTAAATGAACCAGGTTGCATCATATTTAAACACACCTAGAAAGCATCGCAATGCAATGCGTATAGCACATAGCACATTTGCCGTGAAAAATTTTCATGCGTTCCGATTTGTGTATAAAAATGCGACCTAGAACTATTTTTATGGAACGCGTTCCCGAACTTACGACTGGGCTGCTGCAAAAAGGACTAAATGTCGCATTTGAATAGAGCACCGTAACAAAGCGATGTATGTGGTGTGGAGGAGTCCAACTCCGAATGGAAGTAACTTTTTATACCCGTAGAGTAAAACGGTATACTAGATTCGTCGGAAAGTATGTAACAGGCAGAAGGAAGCGTTTCCGACCCCAATAAGAATATATATATTCTTGATCAGGATCACTAGCCGAGTCGATCTAGCCATGTCCGTCTGTCCTTCTGTCCGTCTATCTGTCCGTCCGGATGAACGCTGTGATCTCGGAAACTATAAGAGCTGGGCTATTGAGATTTGGCGTGCAGATTCCTGAGCTTCTTACGCAGCGCAAGTTTGTTTCAGCAAAGTGCCACGCCCACTCTAACGCCCACAAACCGCCCAAAACTGTGGCTCCTAAAGTTTTAATGCTAGAATAAAAACTGAAGTGTATTGTTCTCATCAATACCTTTCGATTGACCCAAAAAAAAGTTGGCCACGCCCCCTTTAACGCCCACAAACCGTCCAAACCTGTGACGCCCACAATTTTCATGCTAGATAAAAAATTTTAACTGAAATGTATTGGTCTCGTCAATACCTTTCGATTGATCAACAAAAAAGTTTGCCACGCCCACTCTAACGCCCATAACGCTTAAATCTGTCTACCGCCGGTATGTGGCGCATTTTAATCTCGCTTTGCTGCTTGCATATCTCCATTTCCCTTTGGTCCCTTTAGCTGAGTAACGGGTACTCGACTATAGCGTTCTTCCTTGTTTTTCTGTACAATCGGGCTGTTATTTTAAACAATTAATTGAAACATGCGTTGAATTAATCAATATTTTATTTATTTATAATACTCAATCCATGTTTCAATCGATTTTTTGTGTTGAATGTCGTTGATAACTGCTACTAAATAATAAATATCAATGATTTGATCAATCACAATAAAAAAATATATGAAAAAAACATATTTCAAGAATCGACGAATAAGTCAAAGATTGAATATTGACATTTTGGTAGCGCAGTGTCTGCAGAGTTGCAGAGTGTCGGCACTCTTAAATTAGATTTCTATACGTGTGAGCCTTGTCTTGCCAAAATGTCGCCGCCTGCGTACATATTCTTTAGTCTAGTCTTATATTTTTTATTTAAAAAAAAAGTATAATTTGGATTCGGAGTTGTTCTGGTTGTTTGTGGATTATGCTCCTGCAGTTGATGTATATGGTTCTTATTGGATTCTCTTTGTCTACTTACTTCGCTCTCCTTTACTTAATCACGTCGATTTTGTGTTTTAAAATTGAAACTGAAATAATAACTGAAATCAATGTACAAATAAACTTACTATTTTGAGAAGAGCATTTTGTTCTCGCGCGGAGTCGAACCACTCTACTAGTTGCGCCAATATCACGTGAGGCGCCGTGAAAAGTCTATTCCGATTTTGTTCTCTTGAGTTCTAAGATTATATGTTTTTTTTCAAATAATCTGACTCCTTTCTAGTCATTTGTGCATTATTTTTCGTGAATATTTATTAACTAGTATTAATATTAAAACAACCCACACTTGCGCCTATAAGCTTCAATAACATATGTACAATGCGCAGGCGTTAGACCCTTAGGTGATTTTTTACGATTATGGGCGATTTTTTCTAAGTTGGAAAGAACAATTTCTCTAGCTATGGGCGTCTGTTCACTGAGATCTTGGAAACTATTAGAACTAAAATTTTGGGAGTAAGTGCAACGCCCACTTTTTTGCGACCATATTTTTTAGTATATAGTAAAAATTTAAATATTGTTTTTGTTATTAATACCCATCTATGTATACTCGAGCGAGATGCACGTATCCCTTTTTTTAAACATGTAAACTAAAATGAGTTATGATAACAGTCGGGACATAGGTAAATTTGTTATTTAAAAGCAAAAAAATTATAAAAACAAATTTAATTTCAAAAATGCCGTACCTATTATAGAAATCATCCTTTTTCAAGGTCAGCTATTTTAAAAGAATGAATTCCCAAAATGGATGTTACTTATAAAAAATTAACCGACCCCTAAAAATGTATATAATTTTTAATACATTTTTTAAAGTTCTTTTTTTTTTATTTTTAGCGATAAATATCCAATTTACCTTTTTTTAAACTTATTTCCAACACCACTAATTTTAGTTTACATGTCACCGCCTGGGATAAGAATTAAAGTTAAAGTTGAAAACCCGAGCTTAAAAAATCCGCCATAAATTCAAATTTCCCTGTTTTTTGGCCGTACCCAGCAGGCTTTATTGGATGGGAAGTATACTTAAGTTGGAACACATTATGATTTTTTAAACGTATTTTTTTCCAGTTTTTACGATGAGTACAGCCGATTTTCGTTGTGCAAAATTCAAGTTGTTCATCCTTGTCAAGCTCCAGCGCTACCGTTACTTATCCAATCGAATTGGTCTGAGTTGCAAAGTTAAGCTCTGATATATTGATTGGGTGGATACAAGTGGAGATAAGAAGAAAAAGTCCGAAATTTTACGTTTTGAACTTAAACAACTGTGCCTTTGCACAGATGTCAGTAACATATATATGACGTGACGGCAAACCTATATGCGATAACCCAAATCACACCTCTTATGTTTCTTTTAAAGTGCGCTTTCAGGTACGAAATTAAGAAAAATGTAGAACGAAAAATTAGTTCTGGGTAGCTGGTTTTGTAGAGAACGCCCGATATTTGTATAATTATAATTTAATGGAGGTCCATTTACATCTCTTTTACAAGTGTATACCACTCATGTACTACTGGAGTGTAACTAATAATAAGCACACCATGCAACAAGCATATTTAATTTTTACTTTGCTAATAAAATACCATCTTAGAACGAAAAAAACTTTCAATTGTTTTCAGATTATAATTTAGGTATTTTCAATTAAAATAATCGCTATATGATTTATAAAGACACAATACTGGTAAAATTTGAACATGAATTCGAGTATGGATAAGGCAAAACACTTTTTTGCTGAAAGTGGTATCTTAGGACCCACCAACTTTAAGGATTCACGTGACTTGATTCGTAAGACATCAACAATTCACATTGACACTAGCCTAAAGAATCAGGTGAGGGCTAATCTGATTTTCATAGATTTTATGCCCAATTTTATTTTCAACACAGATACGAAAAACGTCATTATGTCTGCGGTCAAGGGTTGTTAACGAAACTAATACATTAAACAGCTTCGATGATTCCATACTCAGTCTTCAAAACGAAATCTATAACATAAGAGAAACTTTAGTCAAGGGCGAGACTAAAATTATAATTCTCCGTACTGAAATTGGCAAACTAAAGGTAAGAAAAGCTTAAATTAAATAGTATGCATATAACCCCCTAAAGGGTTAGCTAGATTTCGGCGTCTTTTTTATATAAAAGAAAAGTCTTGTTATAACTTTTTTTGTTTATGTTTGGTATTTCAACTTTGTTGAAAAAAAAACCGATTTATTGACATTTTATTGGATTTTAGAAAAACCGATTTACTGGCATTTTATTGGATTTTAGAAAATTTGAACCGGATTAAACAAAAAAGTGTTTATTTTTAATCTTTTGTTTGGCAACACGAAAATCTTTTTTAATAACCAGCAATTCGACTTATAGTATTACAGGTATCGAATCCAAAAAACCAAAAACCCTTCTTGAATAAACACGGTTCCGAGAATGTTTTATTTTTTAAAAGACTTTTTTATCACGTTCACTCGGTATAGGGCTTAGAAGGTTAACGATTACTCTTTCGGTTTTCCGAACTGGATCCACTTACCGGTGAAAACTTTAGTTGCTCATAAATTTTATATAAATGGTCCGATTTGAATTTCGGAGCGTTATGCGCGTTAGATTGGGCGTGGCATATCGGCTTTGTGCTGTGCAATTATTTGTATGCTTAATCCCAACTCTCAGCTAGCGATCTTAATCAAGAATATATATACTTTTTAGGGTCGAAAACGTTTCCTTCCACATGTTATACATTTTCGAATACAATATACTCTACAAGTGAGAAACATTCCTGTAAACGCCGTAAAAATATAGTAGGTTTAGCAGTGGATTCCGCTGAAATTGCTTTGCATCTGCTATTAAAAGTTCGTTTTCGTTCGTTTTAATATATACGTTTATGAACACACCCATTTGGATCGCTTTTATATTATCATTTTTTACAGTTTAACCCTGTGAAGAACATACATATTTGCATTAATAACCAAATCAAGAAAACGGGTTTTACATCTAAAAACCTTAAAAAATGTTTATCTTCGGTTGTACTTACCGGTCCAACTTAATTTTGTTTGCGTTTTCTTCTTTTTATATTATACACAATTAAAATACAATTGTTATTTTCAGTTAAAAAAACTTAAGATTAAAAAAATATTCTATGTATGTTTAACCCACAATTCACGAATTTACATTTGGATTTGGATTCATAACTCCTACAAACCATTGTAACTCTGAATTTACAATTGTTGTAACTTATGTCGCCGGTCACTTTTGTTTATTTATTGGCAAGCGGCGCTGTGTTTTCTTTTAAATAAACTTTAAATTGTAAAATATTCACTAAAATGGAAATTGGAGTTGCAAATTCAATAAAAAGTTAAATTTGACAGAACAGTAAGACCAAAGAAGAATACTTTTGGTTAGAAGAGAATCCTAAAGCAACAATCCTAAAGCTTGATTTTACTGTACATATACAGGTATCAATCCCATACACTTTCTATACTTCTCTATAATTTTAGAATATCTTCTTTAACTTAATTCTATTTTTACAGCAAGCACTTCAAGCGATAATGCACGTCCAAATGGAAGCTCGAAACTGCTCTGAGGAAACCATTGTGAACATTAAAAATCCCACTCCGAGTCTTTGCCTATTTTGCCAACCTATAAATATTTCCATAAAAGGGTCTCCAAGCTGCAGCCCAACGTTTACCAATAGAAGCAAAAAAGATAGACCAACTCAAAAAGTTTTAGTTGAAGGAATGAACAACATCTGGAATAATGGCAAATAAAAGTAATGCATGAATAAAAAAATAATATATAATAATTTGTTGTACTTTTTAAAGTTTGTTTTGACAGGATAAAATAAATTGTGTTGTTCTTTGCAGAAGAATTAGACTTATTAGAATTATTACACTTTATTGAGGTTAGCTTTATCTATTACATTTGCAATAATAGCGTAATATATACAATAAATTAATAACGGTTTTATAACATATTTTGTATACTAAAAAAAGTTTAAAAACTTAGTTTCATAGAAAGCACTTCGTAAGGTTAGGGACAAACAAGACGTGCACTCATCCCTGAAATTAAAATTACAACTGGAGCATTTCAAATTGATGTACATATAACTAAATAACAAAGTACAAATTAAAACAGTTCGAGAACTCTATTATTGATAGTATTAGTAATAACTGAAAATTCACTATTACTAGATTATTTGAACTTGATTACAACAATGTATCCTAACTCTATGAATAATAAATTATAATTTTACATATGATATTTAGCTAGTAGAGAAAACGGTTGAGGCCTCCAAAATTTGTTGTATGGTAATTCTTAATTGGTAAATATAATTTCCAATTGTAAGCAGTAGCCTGTATTTTTATGAATACATCATTTTTTGATCGAGCCATACATTATTCCAAGAACCGAAATTATGGTTCTGGCTAAAAATGTTAATATGATTAAATAAAGTAAATAAATGGCACCAGCTCAAACTTACTGCGGAGCTTCAGATAAAGCCAAGACCAATTTCTTATGACGTAAAGTTTTAATTATTTCTCCATCGTTTGAAGATACAGCCATTTGACAAATAAAATATTTTATCATACAAATTCTTTCAAAAACCAAATTATATTCTGTTTTTTTTTTAATATCAAGTAATATTTGTTGTACGAAAATGGATTTTATTTCTAAAATCTCCATTTTAAAACACAATTTGTATTATAACAAGAAACAAGAATATTGAGACAATCTAGGGATGTCTGTATCTGCCGTATTTGTGCCCGTTTTTATGACAAATATGGGAACCTTCTCGAAGTTTGATTTTGCTTTATCCAAATAAAGGAGAAAGGGGGAGTCGGTAAAATAAAATAAGATGGCTTTAAGTTGTACGCTTATTTGCAAAAATCAACGAAATCATACTAATAGACATCGCAGATCCTCATCAAGAATATATAAATAATATGGTCTAAAACGCTTCCATTTTCGGTTATTATTTTAAAGGAATTATATAAATAAAATAATTGAAATAAGACTTTTTATAAAACAAATTAGTAGTAGTACAATTTTTATAAGAGAATTGAATTCTTAACTGACAATAGAAACCAATATTTGAAGACAATGACATCAACTAACTTTTTGTACCCGTTACTCGAAGAGTAAAAGGGTATACTAGATTCGTCGGACAGAAGTTAACAGGTAGGAGAAAGCGTTTCCGACCCCATAAAGTACATATGTTCTTGATTCACTTGCCGAGTCGATCTAGCCATGTGCGTCTGTCTTCATGAACGCTGAAATCTCGGACTCTAAAAGAGCTAGATTGTTGGGAATTGACTTGCAGATTCTTGGGCTTAAAGAATATTAAAATTGAAAAATTGTAATTCAGGCCTTTAAAACCAAACTTTTGCTCAATCTAACCAATGAGATACATATCAATACGATTGTGAATTGACAGTTGAACAGAAGACTTTTGTTATAACAGAACACTCGTAAGTTCGGGGGTGCTTTAAAGAAAAAACGAAGCATGTTTAACATAGTAAGTTATAACTATTATATTAATAATGCGATTGGCAATAATCAATCAATAAAATCAATTTCAATTTTAGTTTCAATGAAACAAATTCGTCAAAAAATACAACTTTCTAGCTTTTACAGTTTCCGAGTTCTCGGCGTTTATACGGACGGACAGACAGACGACTATTGATCCCGATCAAAAATATATACACTTTATAGGTTCGGAAACGCTACCTTCTACGTGTTGCATACCTTCCCACGAATCTAATACAACCTTTTAATCTACGAGTCAAGGGTATAAATAAAAGTGACCTCTTCTATAGATAACAAAAATTCATATTTTAGTTCCGAAATCAAAGGCAATATGTTGCAGAATACTGGTTCAAACTTTAAAAATTAAAGATGTTCTTGCTACTGGTTTTGTTTGTCAAACAGCTGTATACAAATTAGGAGTATAAGTAGGGACAGTTGTAGACCCTAACCACCATGATTCACTGTTCTGAAGCGCAATTTAGTATGCTGCAGACCTGAAGTTATTTAATTATTCTAAGTTATGCCTATAACGTCGAAGACGCGCGCTGTTTTCAATTTTTGGATCTCCCGGTGGTGGTGAAATGTTGCATTTAGGTTGTAGGTCAGCGGAATATTTACTCGTTGGTACATTATTTGATTCTTCGATTTGAACAACTTGGGCCCCGATAAGTCTATGTTTTTCCGCGCTAGTAATAGTATCGTTATCATCAAAATTTCCTAACATTGTATTGGGAATGCCACGGGTCCTAAAAAAATTTGTGAATGTGATTAGAATGCAATGTATAATAAAAATGTACGGATATACCTGCTAGAAGTTCGTGATCGCGGTCTTTGGAATTTTAATTGCAGTTGCGTTGGATCTGTGACATACTTTCCTTCAGCAGATTCCCTCCGACGACGTAAGCCTAAATAAATAAAACAATTTAATAAAAGTAATAGGGAAATAAAGTATTTCTTGTGGTAATTTGGCCCATATGAATTGTAATGAAATTTCATTCTGGATATCATAGGATTACAGTTCACGTAGTGACAAATCGCGATTGGGATTCACTAGCTCTCTTCTGGTCTTCGTCGCATAAGTATTGTATAAATCATATGCAAGTTTAGCTTGCAGATCTAATCTGATTTTTAAACTTGTCGGTACATGTAAGATTTTGATATATCTGGCATATAAGATTTTACCATGAAATGCAAAGTTGACAAACAAGTCAACCTTTACAATAAAAATTGGAAATAAAGACTGAAATAAAATCACTTTTGAATAGCAGGATTCATTGATTTAAAAGTGATATATATATAACCTATGCTATTATATGCATACAGAAGAGTGCAACTTAACTTTTGCAACAAATCATCGAGACTACCTGTGTAAGTCCTGTAGTTTTAATACCCGTTACTCGTAGAGTAACGGAAAGTATGAAACATGTGGAAGGAAGCGTATTCGACCCTATTAAAAAAAAATATATTCTTGATCTGGATCACTATCCGAGTCGATCTAGCCATGTCCGTCTTTCCGTCTGTCTGTCCGTACGTATGAACGCTGAGATCTCGCAAACTATAAAAGCTAGAATGTTAGGACTTGGCATGTCGATTCTTCAGCTTCTTGCGTAACGCAAGTTTGATTCAGCAGGGTTCCACGCCCACTCTAACGCCCATAACGCTAAATCCCCTTTAGCACCCACATTTTTAAATATTTTCAATAAATCCAAATGAGATTTATTTTGATTATCAATGTCGAGCTGTTCTATTCGGGCCAAGCTATAAGCAAATTAAGTGTACAATCTTGGGAACAGACGCGTTGCTACTTGTATATCTTTATCTCCCTCGCACTCCTGAGTGCTCCCAGTACACTTAGTAATACACTGAGTAACGGATATGTGATAGTATATACTGGATAGATGGCATCGACTATAGCGTTCTCTCTTGCTTTAATTGATCACGATGGGAGATTTTTTTGTGCGCAACTTTTTAACTTTTGATACAATCAAAAACATGTCATTGTGTAACATTTGTAATCTCTCGTCGAACTCGATCAAGAAACTTAGGTGGCTAAAAAGAAGGAAATAAATCTAAATAAATAAACTAAAGCAATAGGATGATTAAAGTCAAGAATAATCAATCAGGAGATAAGTTACAAAAACCAACTGTTAAAGAAAAAGGGCGATGTTACTACCTGATATTATCATGCCCGTAGCTTTATATTTGTGAGTCTCATTTCGTTTAAAACTCCGTTAAAAAGCCCATAAATTAAGTGTATAGTTTAATACAAAATTGTAATATTTCGACCAAATCTACGATACGGCAAATATACGATAATAGAGTTTAACAGAACTAACTCCAACATTTAAAATAAGACAAACCTGGGGTAAGATCCGTTATATTAGGAGGATATTCTAAACCAGTGGAGTATGTGTTTTTGCGACCAGGTATAGTATCCGTTACAGAATTTGGCGTGTCAATTTGGGGATTGTAAGGGGTTTCCGGAAGGGCGTCTATGGACTCAAGTGCCTTAGATGAATTTATTGCAGTATCAGCACCCGCCCATGATGCACATTTTGATTGCCGTATTGGAATTTTGCTAGGATTTAATAGTGGAAGATCACATCCTGACTCAGTTTCCCTGTAACCGTCAGTGCTGCCTCCTGTCAACGGAGTTTTGGAGTCACCTGCATGGCAATTTGGTTGATCATTCAACGCATTGCATGATTCACTATTCCCATTTATCTTCAGGTTATTGACGCCAGAAGAATGTAAGCTACAGCAATAAGCTTCGATACGAGATTCGGTTGTATCCTTGTAGATTGGTTTCGTAAATTTGTTGACCGTACTTGATGGGGAAGCTATCACTGCAGCATTTTCTTTTATTTCATCACAGAAAATAGGTGCTTTATCAGAAAGGTCAGGGGCTTGATTTGCGGTTGGAGTATTTTTAATAGCTGCCAGTGCATCATAGTAAACGGAATCGTCCAGATGAGAGGTTTCTATGTAATGAAATTTACAAAATATGTTACTACTTATTAATACCAAAACTAATTGTATAAATTATATACTTCAACGTTTTTTTAAATATAAACATGGTTCATACGAAAACCACCTTAGTTCAGCACTAAACGACATCACGATTTAAAAGAAAACAACGTTACGACTTAAAGCATCTTTCAGAGTCGGTACTGCATTTTAAGGGCGTAGCCAACGTTAAGTAGTTTCTTACATCAAATTCTAAGCAAAACATTGTGTTAAAGCGTATGCTACATAACATTTTTGTTATTTTTGCACGAACCAATAAAAGTCTAGTATTAAATTATAAGAAGATAATTCAATGCTAATATGCCTGCATTAAAAGCACTGTTGTTCTGTCGGTTCAGAATTTTTAGGACGGTAAGGCAAGCTTAGTTGTTTTCAATAATTACCTTTTGGAATAACACGAATTTCTAGTCGACCACTAATACAACCGTTTTTTTCTTGGACCGCTGAGCTTAAAGCCAAATTACTTCTTTGGCTAGCCGTTGTCTGTACTTTCCAGGGTTTATTGACGTCTTCTGCCAGCATTGCGTCAGAATTCGACTGAATCGGTTGGTCGTCAAATATATCGGCAACTGACACGTTAGGAAGGCTGCTTCGATGTTTCGATTTAGCTTGACTATCATTTGAAGTGTTCAACTGAAACGTGGTGTCCTCCTTAAAAGGGGAAGGTGGGACACCCCTTGAAACTAAGGAAGTGGTAGGCTTAGCTTTGTCCAATGGAGTGATCTCTGAGTATGTTTCTCGAACACAAACATTCCTTGCTATATCCATGCGATATACCTGACAGATAAAATCAATCAATTTATTACACGCTCTTGGTTTTTTGCAGTATAAACGACATTCAAAATTGTATTTATCAATTTCATGTTTTTTAACTACTAATTGGTTAGCGGATTTTACATCAAAACACTTAAAATGTCTTCCAGTAAAGTTTCAACGGAATTACTTCGTTACTCCATTTACTTTTATTTATTAAAAATGCTTACTGTGTCATCAAATGCAGCTTGTTGCACAGCCGGTGGTTCCAAGTCTTTACGTAATACATTACCCATTGCAGGCTCAGACCAACAGTGCGGTATAGAGATTCTCAACGCTTCATAATTCTCGATTCCAGTTATGTTTAGTGTATATCTATGAGGAAAAAATCAGAAATGATATTTATGGAACTTTAAATGAAAAAGATCGTTCTCTTGCAGATCGTTCCTTTAAAAGCCGTGCAATTTCTTAAAAATTAAAATTTTTTTAAAAATATTACAATTTTGTTAAGTTTTTATTTACTTCCGTATATGGACAATATATAGCTGCCATAGGAACGATCGGATAATTAATGTCAAAATAATAAATTGACTGATATATTTCGCGTTTCGCAGCATTTTTTTGCAGATGAGGAAGGTCAATCCACCCACCCAAAATACATATATACATACATACAAGTATTCGATCACAAAAATTGAAGAAAATGTTTATGGAACTAGATTGTTCACAAACAAAGCTTATGAAATGAGAAATGCAAATGTTCAGAAAAATCTACTGTTTACCGGCAGAATTTACTTAGTGGTTGTCCACGGCATAAATTTTTTGTACCTTATAAAAAACAATTGTTTTTACATTAATTCTACATTATTAAGTACCGATTTGGCGTCGATGAGGTAAGTAGTAAATTAATACTTCCCAAACTTTTAAATTGAAACTTTTGAAATACAAGTATTAATTTATTTATTTAATTGGTTTAAAATAGTACCACAAAGTTGTGGACTTTTTAATATTGAACTAAAACTGTATAGTAAAGACCTTCTATTTGTAGTTATAACTGTTACTCGTAGAGTAAAAGGGTGTGTTAAATTCGTCGGAAAGTATGCAACAGGCAGAAGGAAGCGTTTCCGACCCCATAAAGTGTTTAGTCAATAGTCAAAACCGAGTCAATCTAGCCATGTCCGTCTGTCCGTATGAACGCTGATATGTCGGAAACTATAAGAGCTAGGCTATTGGGATTTGGCATGCAGATTCCTGAGCTTTTTGCGCAGCGGAAGTTCGTTTCAGCAGGGTGCCACGCCCACTCTAAAGCACACAAGCCGCCCAAAACGGTGGCTCCTACAATTTTAATGCTAGAATAAAAATGTTCACTGAAATGTTTTGTTCTCATCAATACTTATCGATTGACCCAGATAAAATTTAACCACGCCCACTTCAACGTCCACAAACCGCGCACTTCAAAAAAACGTAAGTATGCGCATGTCTCGGAAACTATCAAAGATAGAGAATTGGGATTTCAGATTTAGATTCCGTAGCCCTTTACGGAGCGCAAGTTTGTTACCCACACTAACGCCCAAGCCTGTGTAACTAATATGTATTAGACTCGTCAATACCTATCGATTGATACAAAAAAAAGTTTGCCACGCCCACTCTAACGCCCATATATTGAGATCGCGGGTAGGTGGCGCATTTCAATATCGCTTTGCTGCTGTCATATCTCAATTTCCCTTTGGTCCCATTAGCTGAGTAACGGGTATCTGATAGTCGAGGTACTCGACTATAGCGCTCTTCCTTGGTTTGAATCTACTTTATGATAAATTCTGCCCACTTTTGATACAACCGGTAATAAATCTTAACTTTTTGTTTTTTAGTGCATAATGATTTCAGGTAGAAGTTTGCAACGCAGTGAAGGAGACGTTTCCGACCCCATAAAGTATATATATATTCTCTAACAGCATCACTAGACGAGTCGATCTAGCCATTTTCGTCCGTCCGTTTTTAAGCGAACTAGTCGCTATCGGGATGAAACATTTCAAGTCTTTTTTCTATTGCAGGTAGTATACAAGTCGGTAGGAGCCGGATCGGACTACTGTATCCTATAGCTCTTCTAAGAATGATAGGAAAAATGATGAAAAGAAATTTTTTAAATTAAATATTTTGAGTTTTTTGACATTATTTCACTGTGGACGGCAGTCCACGTAGTAACGAAGCGCACCAATAGAGAGGCTACTACTATACATACATATATACACAATAAATTAAAATCTACTGTAAAGCTCCGATCGTAACAAGTGATACAAAATCGAAAGGTATCGCAAAAACTAAAAGGATTGCACACCAAGACTTTAAAAATCAATTGGTTTGGGAGAAAGAACGGTGAAAGTGTAAAGGAGACAATTTCGAAAATTTGATTCGTTGGGGACGTTGGACCAGTCTTTTGTATTCTTACTCAAAACTAATGACACCTCATATGTTAAAATGGACTGAAAATAAATACATTCCTGTTTCGGCAAAAAGTTCCAATACTTTGTGTAACGTGCTTTTACCTCGTTAAGAGGTGTTTTGGATTGATCTCTTAGGAATACATATTTTTTTAATATTACAAAAAAATAACATTTTATAAAAATTTGACTACTATAGCTGCCGTAGAAATGATCAAAAAATTAATGTCAAAATAAATTTACTCTCTCGAATACATATTGATTAATTACAATTTTTTAGCTGCCGTAGAAATGATCAAAAAATTAAAGTCAAAATAATTTCACTCTCGAATACATATTGACTCATTACAATTTTTAGTGTTCGCGTTTTTTATTACTATTGAAAAACAAAGCCTAGTCCCAACTTTTTAGCTATGATTGTTTCTAAAATCTCAGATGGATATGACTAGATCGTCTCGGCGAGGGAGCCTGATACTTAACAGGTTCGAAAACGCTTCTTTCTACCTGTTATTTTAAACAAAAAATCATTTTGTCTCTACTTATATTCGAGACAAAACAGAATTTCTATCATATTAAACACTCAACTAAAAAACATGTTTTAATTTTTTAATTTTAAATGTTGCTTTGTTTATAACTTATTAATTAATGCCACAAAAAGCGGTCATCCAGCGCACTATAGGTGGACACGAAAATGTAAAGTATAAGTATATAGGTATGGGACTTACCTTTTCGGCCTGTCTTTCCCTTCGATAGGAGTATTAGTTGATTTGCCTGTATCAGCGACGACATTTTGACAAAATTGTTTGGCTTCATTTAGGGGCAATGAAATATCCAGTTTAATCAACTGCTCCAAATTGGGTTGCGACTGCGAGGTGAAATGTACGTGGTATACTTTCATGTATTCTTGTAATTGCGTTAATACATTTTGAGACATGTGGCAACAATTGGCTTACAATTGCGCATGATTGCAATTATTAATTTAAATACTTTTATTAATATTTATGAAATTTATCGAAAGGGTTAATCGCGACTACAGGAAGACATTTTAAGCGCGCTAGATTTGTTTTTTAAATAGGGGTTATTTTACCTGTGGTTCTCTGTTCCATTCGTTGTCCGTAGTGTCCTCTGAGTCATCAAACTGACTCTTCCACTGGGAAGCCAGCGTAAGAGCTCCGCCTTTGGTTACCTGTTGTAATGCTGAGACATTCTCGTCGTCTATTAAAGCAAATTGGGTGACCGAATGATCACCTGCAACACTGCTTCTGGCGGTGTTGCTTCCAGTTCCACCTCCACCACCTGTTGACCCACTATTGATTCTTTGAACTGAATTTGTGTTTGCGCCAGAGGAAGATGGTCTTAAATTGGTAGACGTTGCCGAACGACGATTAACTTGCGGCATTACAGTCATTCCAAAAATTTGACAGTGCTGATTGATGGCAAGTTTTGAGGACGAGCTGTTCCCGGCGGCGGGACCAACATTGGAGCTTGTGGGCTGTTGTTCTTGTTTCGTTGAAAATTCAGTCCCTTGCTGGCTATGGCCCCCTGTTGTTAGATCATGTACACTCATTGGAGGAGCTGTAAGCACACGGAGACGCCCAAAGGTTGACTTCTGTTCCTCCGATGCCCGTTTGACTTCAGAGCCCTTTTCGTTTGTTACGTTTCCCGGTTTCTGCACTTGCTTGTTGGCGGAATCTGGCGAATTTAGCTGTTTCAGTTGCGGTTTTTGGTGCTGTTGTTCCCCGCAAAGGAAAGCTTTATTAGCACTTTCAGAGTTATTTGTATCGACGATTTTCTCTTCAAATACACTCTTAGCAGCGACGTCAATTGTACTTTCGGACTCCGCATTTGGTTTTGTTGGTAAAAACTTAGTTGGTGCTTTATCTTCCAATTGTAGATACTGTAAATAAATTATGAAATAACCAAAATGATGAATTTTTTTAAACTTACTGAATTGCCGTATACTGGCGCGGAATTGTTTTGATTTGTTGTGGAAAACGATACAGCCCCGTTTTGTGGTTGAGAGCTCTTTGTATGAACCTGCACATCATGGCTTCCTATCCCAACCATTGGTGACTTGATTGGTGCACTTTGCATATTAGATATTGCAGCTTGGGAATTCATAGCTAACGGGGACTGCTGCTGCATCATTCCTTTTGGTGTGATATTTTGATTATTTGCCGTATAGCCATGTTGTACGTTGGCTTCTCCAGATGCTTTTGGTTGCGGTGCCAGTGTGGTTGCGTTGCAGTTTCTATCAACCTTTAATGAAGAACAACATTTTTATTTACATGAAGGTAGGTTTCATAATAAGTTTAATTTGCTGATCTTACCTTATCTTTAATATGTAAGGGCTCGGTCGCTGTAATATGAGCTGTCTCGATATCACCTCTCTTCCGCACCTATTTGAGAATTTACAATTTCATTCAAAACATTATTATTAGTATGAGTACATACGTATTCCGTTCCGCTTGCGTTAGATGCTGCTACGGTCATTTGTGTTATATTCCCGTGAATGTAATCGTTTTTAGCAGGAACGGGCGGATTGCCTGATGTACTTATATTGCCAATAGTTGCAGAATCCACTTTTTCCCAGTCGTATGGGTCAGACTCTTTGACGCCGCGTCTTTTCATACACCGCTCGAATAACCCGATAAGCATCTATAAGTGTCAAAAATTTTATTTTTAATCAGATCTTAAATTCGGCTAGTATTTGTTTTACCGCGTAGTCCGGTCGATCTGCATAGGTAAGAGATTGAATATGCTCTAGAAATTGCTTTAAATCTGACGGCAAATGTTTCAACAGTATTCTGTGGTCATACTTTTCTTTCGTCAACCCAACTTGTTCCTTGTCTTTTATCTTTCGCCACGGCAGTTGTCCATTTACGAATTCGACGAGCATATAAAACAGAGACCACAGATCGTCGTGCCGTCCCATTTCCCTATTGCGGTGTGCATTTATAGAGGCATAGCGAACGGTGCCGCGAAATCCAGCTGCAGCTCTTGGACAACGCACTTCTCCAGTTCCTGTGGTATACTGACGCGCCAATCCAAAGTCTAGCATATAGACGCGTCGACAATTATAAGGCAATCGACCCACGGAAAAGTTGCTCTAAAATGCAAAAGCGAGTCAACTAGCTAGTATATTTCAAATTCCAGGATCATTACAAAATAAATATTACCGGTTTAATATCACGGTGAAGGAATCCCACAGAATGTATGGATTCAATGGCCTTTAGAATTTGTAACCCTAACCTAAGTGTTGTACTAAGCGAAAATGCGCCTCGCGGCTGAGCGCGGCGGAGCTCAGCTAAATTCTTTCCTTGAAGCTGCATTACCACATAGTTAAATCGATCATTTCGTCCACATCCGATGAATCGACATACGTGCTCCTTCCCCTGTAATTTCTTTAGAACGGCTACTTCCATTTTAAGCACCTGCTTAGGCTGGCGGGCGGACTCTACTTTAAGTGCGACTTGTTCACGTGTTATAAGGTCTTGTCCTTCGTAAATTTCTCCAAAACCGCCTCCACCGATTTTACGCACCACCTGCACGGTAGGAAACAAATATTATAATGTAGTTTCTGTGTATTTCTATTTTTTTTTAATTATAGAAGAAATCATGCATATCAAAAAAATATTTATTTATGAATTAAGTAAACCTGTAAGAACAAGTCTTAGCAACGAAAGTCTTAGCCGAAAGTCTTAGCAACTATGGCAGGTTCCTCCCTGTACCTTAAGTTTTAAACTTTTGGCAACAGAGTACAACAAATAATTTATTTATTATTTATAAACAAAACTATTTTCACAAAAACTTCTTATTAATAACATTGTTCTACAGAAAAAAACTTTCATCAATAAATGCATACAGATATTATTGGCTTGGACTTGGAATTTTTAAATGTGTTCGCGAAAATATGCACCTACAAACGGATTCGGAGAAAAGTTTTTTTTTTGGGTTTGCTAGTTAGCCAAAACCAAACTTAAAAAAGTTTTAGTTTTTTCACGGAGATAGAAACGAAGGAAGATTTAGTCATTATTTTTATTTTAAGCATTTCTTCCAATATAATTTAAAACAAGAAAAAACGCTATAGTCGATGGCCTCGCTATTAGATACCCGTTACTCAGCTAAAAAAAATGCGAGAGGGATTGAGATATGTTTGCTTGCAACTGGCGTCACGAAGCCTATAACACCAACTAACACATAGCGCCCCTAGCGGCTTGGTGGCGTATTAGTAAAAACATCTGATTTGCTACATGTGCAATCTCGATTGAACTTGGTTTTTTTTAAATGACTGGTCGGTTCTCAAGCATTTTTGGATTGTAAATGGGTATTGATAATAAGATTAAACTCTCATTTAAATTTTTACAAAATATTGTGGGCGCTGAACGGGTTTTGGTGTTATGGTCGTTTGTGGGCGTGGCAACCTGCGGAAACAAACTTGCGCTGCGCAGGAAGACCAAGAGTCTGCATGCCAAATCCCATTATAGTTCTTATAGTTTCCGAGATCTCAGCGTTCATAAGGATAGACGGGCATGGCTAGGTTGACTCGGCTGGTGATCCTGATCAAGAGTACTGGGTATAAATAGAATTTATTTTGAAATTGTTACCGAAGATATGCAGCCTGCCACAGAAGTCACTTCAGCGCTAAGTCGACTAGAATAAGTTGGAACGAAGGCTCAGAAGCTAAATCGGTAAGCTGAGTAAGGTAGTCGTTTTTTATATAATTGCATTTTTTAGACACAAAATACGTTACTTTGCAACCTAAAAAACTTTTTTGTTAAAAACGTTACCACATTCGTTGTGACTATAACATCAACATCGCGACCTATGGATTGCAACAAGTCAGAATACAGGGTATAATTGATATAAGCCTGATAAAACACTTTAGGTATTTAGATATTACTATGTGAAATGTCCATTAATTTCAACCTTTTCCAAAAAGTAATTACAACTGAATTGACAATAACTAATTTAACTAGTATACCTTTTGCTTGAGTCCATATCTATATGCAGTGCTTTTGCTCTGACCACAACTACATACATACATACGCATTAAATTAAAAACACACCTTCCAACGTTCCTTTACAACATGCCCCGGCTGCAGCAAATCTTCGGAAGTCATTTTGCAAGATTCCTTCTCCTTGGGACCTAGCACGATTCTGGCTCTTTCGGCAGCAGCGGCCTGATTTTGGGCTGGATCAGGACCTGGATCTGGATCAGGTGCAGGGGTTGTAGACGATGGCACCTTGAAAGTCACGCGGCTGCGAACCCCTAGGCGGTTGTGCTTCGCTGGCAAAGTGGCCGACCTCTGCAGGACATTTGGGTATCGGTGCTCCTCTAGTGCTTCCGCGTCTGCTGCATTCGCGCCCGAGCTGATGTGCTGTAAAAGACGGGATTGCAGGATGGCACCCGCAAGCGGCGGTGGTTTCGATGGGGGCGGTGGATGAAGTCTAAACAGATTCTTCTGGCAATCACGGCTAAGACTTATGTACTGCTCCTGGTTGGAAGGAGGCTGACATGTAAGGTTGTGATTACCATCGCCTGGCGAGGATGCATTTTCGTCGTTTCTGAAAAATAAGAGATATGGCATTGAAAATCCTCGTTTTCTTACATATGTACACACAAACTCATATCTTTTTTTAACATGGTTTGGACTTACTGATTTATGAGGCATCGTGTCCACCTCTTATTTAAAACATCACCTAAATGTACTGTATCATGTAACTATCATTCGTAGGCTCTTCTAAACACAGCAAGGTAACAGTTTTTTATACAAGTGTTACATTTTGGCAGTTTGGAAGGTGGCCGAATGGGTAACAACAAAAAGTGGCGTTCAATCTCATTTTTAATTTAACTCCTAAATCGAATCAATCGGCCACAATAGGATTGCCAACAACATAGATATGCACCTAGCAATCGATGTTTTCAAGCATAAAATATATAGGGCATTCCGTCGAAATGCTAATTTCGATGAATTGTAGCTGACGAGCCATCGATAGTAACAATTTCGACATTTCTAATGTGTTTTTTCGGAAGCTATCGATCCTATCGCGATGGTTTCAACTTAATCGTCATGCACACCTTAATAGACCTCTGTACACAGCAAAGAATCACTGAAGCAAAAACAGCTGATCGGTATAAACATACCGTATCAACTCCACTGTGTGTGAACGCCTCGAACAAAGAAATGGGGTATTTGGTATGGTAAATGGTATTTTTTACGTTTAAGAAGTTCTAAACATAGTGTTGGCCAAAAGTAAGTCGTCAAATCTTTTCAACTACTTCCTTCATCTACATATTTTCTTTCATTTCTGTGATTACCCTGCTGAGCCAGGCATCAGTAACTTGTCAGATAATAAACTGCCTCTCTCACCATTTTTAAATTTTTTTTATATAAGGATAAACTAAGATTAAAGTCTATAAGCTAACTAATGAATTTTGAATTCAACTAAGTCTATCGGAATTACGGAATCGTAGCATTACAGATTAGTCTGCTGTTAATGGATCCTAAAACTACATTTATATACCCGTTACTTGTAGAATAAAAGTGTATACTAGATTCGTGAAAAGTATGTAACAGGTAGAAGGAAGCTTTTCCGACCCTATAAAGTATATATATATATTCAGGATCACGACCCCATAAAGTATATTTGGGCCATTCTTTTACAAACGGATTTCGCAAGAAAAAAATTTTTTTAAATTTGTTTTCACAAAAAATGGTATTTAATTGAATATATGCGTCAGGTTATCACCCACAATCGGTTTTTGTTATAAGTTGGACCCATTATTATACCCGTTGCTCGTAGAGTAAAAGTAAATACTACATTCGTCAGAAAGTATGTAACAAGTAGAAGAAAGCATTTTCGACCTTATAAAGTATATATATTCTTAATCTGGATCACTAGCTGAGTCAATCTAGCCATGTCCGTCTATCTGTCCATCCGTATGAACGCTGTGATCTCGAAAACTATAAGTGCTCCAAATTTGGGATTTCGCAAAACTATAAAGTTTCCCACGCCCACTATAACGCCCTCAAACTTAAAAAAACGTAAGTATGGACGCGGATATATCGGAAACTATCAAAGAAAGACAATTGAGGTTTCAGATTTAGATTCCTTAGCTTTCTTAGTGCAAGTTTGTTACGCCAACATGCCACGCCCATTCTAAAGCCCACAACCCGTCCAAAACTGTAGCGCCTACAATTTTCATGCTAAAAAATAAAATTTTAGCTGAAATGTATTAGTCTCGTCAATACCTATCGAATGATTCAAAAAAGTTTGCCACGCCCACTCTAACGCCCATAACGCTTAAATCTGTCTGACGCCCACATAATACATCGGGATCGCGGGTAGGTGGCGCTTTACAATCTCGCTTTGATCCCTTTAGCTAAGTTACGGGTATCTGATCAAATAGTGCTTCTCGCTCACTCTTACTAGGTGCTCATGGCCATAAGCCAAACCGATTGTGGGTTATAAACTGGCGAATATTTTAAAATTAAAAAACTTTATTTTTGTAGGGGCCAAACCTAAATTTTTTAAAACTCAATTTGTACGTTATTTTAAAGAAACTAAAAAAAGTGTCTGTGACGTTTTTTGACCGAAAGCTATGATGTCGAAAACGGTTGTTTGAATTTTAGCCGGTCATTAAGGAGGGGCGTGTTGAAATTGATCGATTTATTTGAGTAAATCATAATATTTAGTAAATGTTTATAAAAAAAGTAATTCCACTTTTCATTTTCGTCCATTGTTTTCGGTGTCATAGGAACGTAATTTTCTTACTTCCACCCTTCAGAAAGAAACATCCCCATTTTATGACAGCTTAATATTCAAGCCAAATAAAATGCCTAAAAACCATAACGTTCATGTTCTTGACTCGCCATTATTTCAGTAGATTTATCTAAAAGTCCAAGTTAAGGAATATAATAAGCTGTTACTTTAACCTTAGGAAAAGTATATGTGGGTAAAAATGCATATATGTACAACAAAAAGCTGAAGTTTTGCCCCATTTTCATTTTATACTTTTCTTGCCTTGCTTAAAACTATGCTGCTATAAAATGGGAGCTTCTTTTTAAAAACATTTTTACCTACCAAGCAAATATGGGCTTTAGTTTATTTGTTACGGTGTCATTAAAGATATCAACTTTTTTATCTAAGAAGTCCTTTTGTTGGTGGTGTGTAACAGGATTACAAATAGTCGTCGCTTTTCTTTCACTTTGATTTCTTGATTTTTCGCACACTACAGCAACATTAAACTATTTATGACTTGTTTGCTGTTATATATTTAAGCATTTTCAGTAAAATAAAATACAAGTATCGATTTGTTAGCTTCTGTAAGCTTTCCATGCAAGTAAAGTTCCCTTTTAATTGAACTCAAAGCCAGCTGACAAAGAATAAGCTCATTTTTCCAGCGGGGATTGCGCATGCTCCTTTCTTTGTGTGTCCTATTCGATTTGTCCGCTTTCCATCGAATAACAACTTACTGGTAAGCGATCGAATATAAATTTTTCGAAATGTAATGTAATGTACAACATATGTAGGTTTCTGCAATAAACTTATAACATACCTGAGGTAATCCTGTAAATGCATGTTGACTGCAGTATGGGTTGTTCCTAAACGTGCTTATTTTGGAAAGTTTTTTGCAGATACTTGTGCTCTGTTTTCACTGTTTTTGCAGGGCTAAAAGATTGCGAGGAGGAAATTAAACATTTTATTGCTTTGTATCTATATTTTATCACCTTAAAGAATAAATATGTATTTACACTTCATATACATTTGATCACATTCAAAAGTGACAATATATAATACAGTGCTCACTCAAAACAGCTCCATTCAATTTTGTAAGAGTAAATGATGTAATTATTTAATATTCTAAATTTTAATTACAAAAGTACTTCATTTGTTGGCCCTAGGGAGTAATTTCATGCAATGAACATATCGGCCCTGTTAGTATTCTCTCTTTAAAATGTATCATATATTTCAACGTATTTGTATATATGTACATGCAAAGCGAACGAATAACGATGTATGTATATTCCATTATATAGCTTACTGCATTTTGCGTATCTATTTTATTTATGAATTCGTTTATTTACGTAAAGTAGGCAAGCGTGTGATTTGTTTGACTATTTTTAAATTCAGATTTAATTATAGAGGAGTTCAACACGAACATTGAACGAATATCACTGAGGAATTAACGTGATTTCACTCCCACTTCACATTATTATTAATTTATTAAAGCGTTCACAAGCGTTGATTAAAATTTAGCATTTATAAAGATCGAGATCGAGTATGTATAAAACATTTTCCTATGCAATATCTTTAAAATAGTCTACGAAAGCTTTGACGAAACGAAAATTTTCTTTCACCGAAGAGTTCTCACTGAATCTTTCGGCATTTCTTTGCACCATATGTATTCATGTACAGTCAGGAAAAAAAGTATACCACTACTACTTAAAAATTTTGATTTAATTTGAACTGAATGTGATTTAAGTTTTATCAAACTTCTGTGAAATAACTTTTGCTTGACGTTTTTATAATCCAACAATTAATTGCAGCAGCTATTGACGTTCCGAATTTCTATTTACCCCTATGGTCTCCTCTGTGGGAAACAGATAAATAAAATATCAATAAAAATTGTTGATATGAAATCTAAAGAAATTAGAGCCTTTTCTCGTCCGTACTCTAATTGCCTGGCGCGACATCGAAGCGATAAATAAAAAAAATATTTTTACTCGTCCTTACTTCTTTAAAACTTGTGCACTAGTCTTAGCGGCAACTGTTCAGCCATTTCCTTTCAAGGTTGCTGTTTTTTTTCTATGTGTCAGCGTCAGACCTTTTGTTCTAAAATATTTTTCTGCTCTCGAGAATTGTCTCCTGCTCATTGGTATCACTGTGGTCGGCAGTCCACGTAGTGGCGAACGCGCACCATCTGCAGTGATGACCGATCATAACGAGTGATACTCCAGTCGAAAGGTATTGAAAAAACTAAAAAGATTGCCCACCAAGACTTTCATAACTTCATTTGGTTTAAAAGAATGAGTTGTGAAAATGTAATGAGATGGTGGTGATAAATGTCCAAGGTTATCAGCCAAAATTTATTCCCTTTGAAAATACGCATCAAACCGTTAAAAGTTTTCGATTTAAAGTTAAAGCAAAAAGGTTTTTTTTTAACCACTGTTGCTGTTTTCTCCGAATTGGTACGGATGATTTCTTTTTAAATTTCATTTGATTTTCTTTTGATTCCATAACTTTTTATGCATACCACTTTTTGGCATAAAATTACCCTTTGGAAGTTATTAAGCGATAAAAAGTGCAACCCTATTCAGTTGTATGTATGCTTAAAAGCTTAAATATTCTGCTGAAGCGTGCAGAATAAAAACATTTTAAAAAGTGTATTTATTCAGTCGAACTTACAAGCATTTTTCGTCACAAAATGGATATCAGAACTTTTGTAAGTTGAAGGTGCGGTCGTCATGACCCCTTACCTCGTTAAGTGGTGTTTTTATTTGATAAAAAATGTTTTCCTGCAGACATTGTTTTAACTTTGTTTCTAATTTTGTTTATATAATAAAATATATATATAATTTTCGTCACAAAGTGGCATGTCTTCTATTTGGAGTTGTAAAGGACGGGAAAACAGAAACCGAATTGCAAAATTGTACTTTGCAGGATGTCCTTGGGCAAACTTTGAAAAGTCTTTGTGCTTTCCTCGTCAGTATTTTGTATAGTGATGGTATATCTGTAGGTGGTTTCTGCACTACTTATTGCAGTGGGTAGGTTTAAAATCACTTAACAAGAATATTATATAAAATTGGCGAATAATCTAACAAGGAGGGTCCTGTTTTTTAATTTTTCGTATTTCTTAATGTATTCGTATACAACAAGCGAGTTTAAAATATGTTTCCATATTATTATTATATTCGGCTAAAAATCCTATTTTTGACTTATTTTCTTTTTCTTCTAATTTTTTACAAAAATAATAAATAAAGTAATTTTTTCGAATAAAAAATTATATTTTGCATTACAGCGTTATTTGGTGTTTTTAAATGGTTGGACCAGAGAACGGAAATAAGGGCCGTTCGCAAAACTTTTGTCACGGACTGTATATCTGTACCTATACACATGTTGGTGTTGTGTGTGTGCATAATATAAACAAGAACGAAAAGCTATCTTTAGTCGAACAAAAGTTACAAGAAAATTTGTCCAACAACTGAATTATTTAAGCATTGCTATTAATTTGCTGAGCTCTAACGTATGCTTCATAGCCGATCGAAAACAAGGCAAATTTGCTTGTAATCTTTTTAGCTTGATATAAATTCACAACAAAAAATTTCTTGTACATATAACGGAAATTTAAACTCACAAAAAAAGGAAATGTCTCGTTTATTATACCATAGTTTTAAATGATTAAAATTATAAATAAAGGTTTTAAAGATGGTTATCAAGGACATAAATTAAAAATATTTTAAATAAAATGTTGTGTTGTGGTCACATTAAAAAAAATCTTTTTAACTCTTGACTTTTTATGGCAATAGAATTATTACACGAAAAAAATAATAAAGTTGATCGCATAACATCCCATGACGACCTTCTAGTTCGAAATACTAATAGCTCATGTCTTACGGGTTTCATTAATTTTAATGTTCAGGCAGGGAATCTTGGTACCGTTGTTTAATTTTTTAAATGTGTTGTTGGGACAAGTTATGCTAGTAATTAGCTAATGTTTTGTTTTTTTGATTGATTTATTCCCTGCTTGCAAACGTTCTTTTTTGTTTGGGAATAATTATACCCTCTACTCTACCACCTATGCACACATCTAGATTTTTACGATTGTTGCAAAACTAAAGATTACAAACGAAATATTTTTTTCATATCTTTAAAGGGGTTTAATTTTTGTAAACTAGTATTGCGTTTTCAGAAAAAAAGGTCCTGTTTTAAAAAGTTTTGATTATCGTTTCGGAGTCGTGATGGCGGGGGATTATTAAATACCCGTTAGTCAGCTAACCGACTAGAAGCGAAGAACATCGATACTAACATTTTTATCTTGCCAATTTTACATTTCACACTTATCCCTTTTATCTACTGGCAGAGACGTTAGTGTTTTGTATCACCTCTTTTGTGTTTAGGGCGGTTTTTGTTCGAATGTACTGGTTTTGATAGAATCTACTGGATTTTTGATGTTTTCAGCTTTAACATTGTTGTACTATACAAACAACTAAACTACGATTCACAACGCTACTGTAATTTCAAACTAGACAGGAAAAACAAATGCTGTCACAGAAGAACGTTAGGAACTTACCAGACCTAATTAATTTAAATTCATCTACAGAAGACATGTTTAGCCACTTCTAAGATAATTGGTTAAATCAATAAAAACATTGTATCACTATATATATATCTTTTTTTAAAATACCTTTTTGAAATAAAATTTGTTGGTCTAGTTTTAATAAACTTTTTTATTAAGTACATTTTTACGTAAATCGTAACTCGCTCCGATTTTTGTTAAATCAAATTTTGGATGCGGGGCTTCCACCCAAAACTAAATTGTAATGCAATATATATATAATATTTTCTATTACACGAAAATCGCAGAGTCTACGGCCATAAATAGGTTTTAATAGAGGTTATAAGAGCACTTTCTAGCCTTGTTTTATTAGGCAAAGAAAATAAATAATTAGAGATTAAGGCAGCCATAACATTAAAAAAGTAAAATCATTGAATGATTGATAATTGATGATTGATAAAATAAAGATACAAACAAGGAAGAACGTTATAGTATAGAAATAGTATAGAAATGGAGATATGCAAGCAGCAAAGCGAGATTGAAATGCGCCACCTACCCGTGATCTCAATATATGGTTATGCGGGCGTGGCAATCTTTATTTTGGATCAATCGATAGGTATTGACGAGACCAATACATAGCATCAAAACTGTAGAAGAAACCGTTTTGGGCGGCTTGTGGGCGTTAGAGTGGGCGTAGCACCCTGCAGAAACAAACTCATGCTGCGCAGGAATCTCAGGAATCTGCCTACCTAATCTTATTATTGTAGCTCTTATAGTTTTTGAGATCTCAGCGTGCATACGGACAGACGGACAGACGGACATGGCTAGATCGACTCGGCTAGTGATCCTGATCAAGAATATATATACTTTATGGGGTCAGAAACGATTTCTTCGGCCTGTTACATACTTTCCGACGAAAAAAGTATTTATATTTATATTATATAAATATTTGTTTATATTATAAAAATATTTGAATCAAAATAGCTCACCCGAATCCGAATTGGGGACCGTACTTGCGTACAAAAATATCCGATATGAGCCTTCTGCTCGGCTACATCGTTATGCAGGATGGTAAAAAACATACACCCACCTTATGATGTGCCCACTCCGTTTTTGCCATACCCAAGTAGTGGATCGATCGAATCCTTCTATTTGCCTGAAAATAAACTAATAAATGCTCATTTCCACACCACCTTGAGGTAGAGCAATATGGCGCTTTTTTTTAAAGTTCCCCATTAGCCCTACCTACCTATACACATATTACCACATACCTATATACATAGATACAACTTTAAAATGTAAGTACAACTTATAAAATATACCTTAATTACTATATAACTAAATAATTCAAATCATTAAAATTCATTTGATCCCACGCTGCTCGTCTCCTGTCTCTCGCTGCCCTTGAAAACGTCACTCCGAATGTCGAAGAGGACTAGTACACACCAGACCTCCAGGCAAAACTCTTGACCATGGAGATTGAGTTGTCTTTTCGTGATTTTGAGCATTTCTGCCTGGACCTTCGAGGGTATCACTCTTCAAATAGCAAGCCTATAATTAAGGATCAGGCTCCACGACAAAAAATACAGAGGCGGCTTTCAAAAGTTGGTTTTCTTCTTCCTCTGTTGTCTTATTGAATAATGGTGGTCCTTGGTGGTCCGAATATACCGAAAATATTTCATAAAAATTGTTTTGAGATTAGTGTTACGTACGACTGTCTTAAGTTGAGGGTAGGGGCCGCTAATGACTAACCACACTAAGATTGATAAGAAGAAAACAGCAATGCAATTCGACAATTCACGTGTGTTGCGTGGCCAGAACAACGACCACGATGGACCTGCTCGCAACCGTACTCCAGTTGACTCCTAAGATAGGGGAAATAGAGTAACAGTACCCCTAGGTGGGAACACCCAGTTAATTCATCCAATATGGGGGCTAGCGAAAGCTCTAGTCCGGTATAAGCCAAATAGAGAAGACAGACAGAATTTGTTCTGATCTCCCTGACAGTGGTTTAGCAGTACAACTCCCATCAACACAGACCACGACTGGAAGAAGACTGGTGTCCAGAAGGATCCCTAGGATCAACTTCACCTAGGAGAAAGTAGTGACCACATCGGACCATAAGCAGAGCAGTTGCAGCGAAGTGAAACAGCAAACAGACAATAAAAACAATAGAAGGCGAATAAATTGCATTCAAAATTATAAGCAAAAAGTGAATCGCTAAAAACAATTACAAACAATTTGCGAGTGCATGCATTTCTGAATGCAAGTGTAACAGAGCCCCCAAACACATACGTTGAACAAGAAATTGGAGCTGCACCGACCAGCCCCAGCCCGAGCATTGGATATATATTTATAAGCCAATTGTAACATCTCCCAAAGCCCAGGATCCGGAGCGTCGAGATCTCATCGCCCAGGATTAAAAGGCGGGTAAGTTTGTCGGAACGAGGTTCCCAGTTTTCTTTTATGAATACATATATATATATATATCCGTGCACCATGATCGCTACACAAGCATTAGCAAAGACTATAGACAATGATCCACAATTTAACGTAAGAATTCTGTATTTGTTATCAAAAGCAACCCTACCAGTAACTGTGAATGAATTAGAGTACTTATATATTGAGACCTTCCGTCTAGATTTCTCACCACTTGCACACTGTAACAAGACCGAAAAGGCAAATGTTATCTCTACCGTTCCAACGGTCATTGTTGTCTCCCGTTTAGATAGAAATGTATTTTTGGGCAATGTTAATACTTTCCTAGTTAAGATCAAGAAATAAACTTTTAGAAATTAATACAATAATATTCATATATAATAACTACTCATATATAATCATTTAGACATACACTCCTCTTTTTATACATTTGTCATTTTTATATATAATAATTAAATGTTAATTTTTCAGCGGCGAGTATCAGCCTTGTAGTTGTATGACAATTTCAAGAGCTCTCTGCGCGACGTTTGTAGTCGTGGATAGTCAGCATTTTGCTGATGTGTGCACCTTCACAGGTGGTAAATTCGATACTCTCCGCTAACAAAATAATTGTCATTTAATTTAATTTCCATATGAATTAGCCATGGCGCACGCGTATGTAAATATTACCCAATAAATTTATAATGTAAAAGAATATCAAAAGCATGAAGTGTTGCTGAGCAGTGACATAATTTTCGACGGACAACCTTGACAATAGGGGATCGTATTGCGCGGCCCGCGGCGATCCATTGGGCACACGAATGTGTGAAGGGGAGGAAACATGGCCAAAACACAGCCCGATCGTATTGCGATCAACCGACAGCGAAGCTTGTGAGGCAGTGTGGACTGATGAGTGACGAACTTTATGGAGTAATATTATTTTCCAGGCACTTTAAATATTTATTCTCGCTATGTTGGAGAGGAGAGAGGCTTACCAAGATCCCACGACCCGAATACGACGTAGCTTATGCCGGCAAATGGTACCTGAACGGACGCCTTTCCCTCGGGCCAAGTCCCTGTCAGAACTCGGGCACTAATATGCCCACGTAACAGATGTTTTCACTATAATCTCGCAATCTAGGAACTACGGAATCTACCTCTTTTTCATTTAGAGAATTATTGTCAGAAGCAAACGCGTATTTTTATACATTTAAAAGGTATACGTATATGTATTCGGAGAAAACTGGTAGAAGGAGCATAACCGACCCCATAACACACACATACATGCGGCCGCGATCACAAAGCTCTCATTTGGGTCTCATGCAGCTCATCAATAAGTACTACGAAGGGCTTCGTAAAATCCCATTCTCTTTAAGGGTGTTGAAATGGGGGACTGATCCCCTGATCAATGGGTTAAGCTCTGGTCCCCTATTTGCAAATAGCTCATTGTTGCAAATTGTTAAATCCCTGAAGGAATTAGCCGGAGACCAAAATTCTAGCCCTGTCCCGAAGCGGCCGAGAATTGAAGATGTTGCTAGGATTTTATTAGAGTTTTTAAAATATACTATTTTTTTTTTAATATCTTATACGTATGTGTATGTGTTTGTTTTTATTGCTTTGCAGACGTATACAGCTGCAAAAACAAGCAAGGCAAAGCGGAGCCTGACATTTGATGATCTGGGCATTTATCGTCCTCCGAAATCTCCGGATTTCCAAAGTGAGTAGCAAAACATAAGTAGGACTTATCTTATAAAATTCGTGTTCCAATCGGTAATGTTTTGTCCCCTTTATCACTCGAAGGACGAGATAAGTGGTTGCTTCACCACCACGCAGCTTGTTGACGACAACCTGGACGGAATGGACATCGACCTCTCAAGGACGATGGTCTTGATTGAAGACGCCGAGGTCATCTACCTCTTGTCTCCCCTGAGCCACCACCTAGGTATGTCTAAATCTAAACATATTTGTATTTCCAGCCGATAACGTTTTCTCTTTTCCAGTCGCGGGCCATTCGGACGAGCCGAGAGGCATCTCAACGCTTGTGGACGACGACCTGTTCGTGGGAACCTCCGAGGGACTGTAGAAGGCATCGCAGTTCTCGCTATTTCACCTGTCGAGCCCCTGAGCCACCACATAGGTATGTCCAAGTCTTGTCATTTTTGTAATCCAGCTGATAACGTTTTCCAGACGGAATGGGTAAAGACGTCAAGGTCATCTACCTCTGGCATAGCAACAAGGACAGAAACAAATTCCAAAATTATAACGACAGTCTGCTTTGCAACAAAATAGCAGCTACATGTAGAGCTAAGCTAAGGAAGCTCAACTAGTTGCTTAAGCCAACGAGCGAGCTCAGCCTTGGCAACAAAGATTGCTGTTCAAAGCAATTGTGGTGCCCTCGATGACGTATTGCGTCCAACTGTGGGGCATGGATTCAGTCTCGAACGTCAGACATCTTGAGCGCTGCGAGGAAGAAACGCCGAAAAGATGGATGGTAGGTCTTATTAACTTTTAGTAAATACATACTAAGCTTTTAATACATTACATTTAAAAAAGTATTCACAGAAAGCAGAAGCAAAGTCAGCAGAAAGAAAGGAAGAAATGGAGAAGGAGCTGGACGCTCACAATGCCACAAACAGCAAGGCTAAATAATTTCCTTTTTTTTAATTTTACATATGTTTGTTTATTTATTTTACTACAGTGGTGTTCGATGCCCTTTAGCGACCTTCAATGTCTTATTTACTAGTAACATTTTTATTAATAGCTCAAATTGCCTTATTAGATCTAGAATCAGCTGTAGCTATAATTCAATCATATGTATTCGCTGTATTAAGAACTTTATACTCTAGAAAAGTAAATGAATTGTAATGTCTACACATTCAAATCACCCTTTTCATTTAGTTGGTTATAGCCCATGACCTTTAACAGGAGCAATTGGAGCTATAACAAGTGTATCAGGTATAGTAAAATTATTTCATCAATATGATCTTTCATTTTCTTATTAGGTAATATTATCACTATTTTAACAGTTTATTAATGATGACGAAATGTACCACAAGAAGGTACATATCAAGGACTTCATACTTACGCTGTAACTATTGGGTTGTGATGAGGAATCATTTTATTTATTTTATCAGAAGTTTTATTTTTCGTTAGTTTTATTTGAGCTTTCTTTTTGAATTAGGAGCTTCATGACCTCCCTTAGGAATTATTTCATTTAATCCATTCCAAATTTCTTTATTAAATACAACTATTTTATTAGCTTCAGGAGTAACAGTAGCTTGAGCCCATCACAGTATAATAGAAAGAAATAATTCTCAATCCTCGGGGCATTATACGCTATGAGAACTTGCTCTTGCAGCCCGAGGAGAGTATCAAGCTGGTATTCTATTTCAACGGCTTGCCTTTAAGGAGATTAAAGACCAGCTCTCGAGGAGTGCATCCGGAGTGCATCCTTGGGTTGGGACCTTCGTTGGAGGTATTTCAACCAGCCCGCCCACGAGTGGATGAGCAAAATGAAGGTTGCCGATATAAAGGCTGTGCAGAGGCCATGGACTTGTGGTGCTATCGCGCAGTCCAGGACTGTGACCACTTTTCTCCGGAATCTTTAAACGAATCATGGGAAAGCTTAGCCATTTTGGTCACAATAAATTTAGCAATGTATCAGACTTCTAAATATGTAATTAAATTGATTCAAGAGAACACAATTCTGAATTTTAATAAATATTTAAAACTTCTCTGTTTCTTTTATCAAGCTCAAAAATGCAATATTTTTGAATCAAAGCGCCATGTGTTCTTTCTCTTTATGAAGATGAGTCATATTTTTCCTAGTCTGGTAACACCAACCTCGTCTTTCTCTTTGACTCCCATTCTGAATAGCAACAACCCCTCACCACTTTCTTCACAACTCCTTTCCCCTTAAGATGAGACAGCATTTTTTCGGTCTGGCAACGCTTGATTCTTTAAATTTCAGAGAAATTTTAAAGTTATATCGTTATTTTAAATTATATCGTATCATCGTAAAAAAAATACGATAAGTAAACGGACTATGGTGGATTGCAGTCTATTGGCTCTTAAATTTAAAAGACACTGAATCACGTAAGGGAATTATTTCACCCCATATCGAAACCGTTTAGACTTGTGGAATGAGAGTTCGTTTTGTCGGGAGTATGCATCCGCTTTTTTCTTGGAAACTGTTAGCAAGGACTTCATCCATTTTATAAAATTATTTTATTTTTATAGCTATTTTTAATTTAATTTTTTATGAAAATGAATCGTTTGCCTGCCTGAATCTGAACTGCACTGTGTTTGTTTGTATTGTAGTCAAGTTGGAGAGTTCTACAGCTGTGAAACTGGCGATGGCACTATCGTCGAAGGTGTCGTGTATCGGTTGTCGAGAAAGGGCCCGTAGGAGGGTAACTCGGCTATTTGGGTGTGTGCATCGACAATCACTATAAGTCTTCAATGGGAAACATTTTTGGCGATGGCAAACAGCTTTTGTGCTTTTCAGAGCTTTACTTCTGGGTTTTAGGGGTTCGTATCCCGGATACCTTGTGAAAATCGTGTGGTAATCAAAATCCAATTCAAAATATATATTTCTTATTACACGAAAATCTTTAGGTTTTCATAAGAGTGTTGCATTTTTAGCAATGTTTTATTAAGCAAAGTACAAAAATGATAAACTCCAATTTGGGATTGAAAGTATCTTTGTTTAGCAAATGTATGAAAACAGTTTGTCAAGTTCTATGGATCTTGCCATGAGGCTTGGTCTAATCCATTCCTTACCCAGTTTTCACTCGAAAGTGATAGAATTTCCCTTTAACAAAATAAAATGCCCATTGTTTGTTAAATCATTATACCCGTTACTCGTAGTGAAAAAGGGTACCGATTCAAATCTTTTTACATTTGTGACGCAGCTGTCCCGATTTCTGTGTACGCTACTCTATTTTCAAAAAACACAGGGAAAACAAATGCTGTCACAGTAGAAAACGTTTCGAACTTACCAGACCTAAGTAACCTAAATTAAGCTACAGAAACATGTTTAAAAACTTCTTAACTAAGTGGTTAAATCAATATAAACAAAACAATTCTCAATCTTTTTTTTTAAATACCTTAAAAAAGATTTTTTCTACCATTTTTGCAAAAGTGTACTTTTTTAAATTAAAATTTGTTGATCTAGTTTAAATAAACATTTTAATTAGGTAAATTTTTACATAAATCGTAGGTCGCTCCGATTTTTGTTAAATCAAATTTTCATAATTCCTTACCTCAGTGCTTTAACTGTTCGGTGATGCCAGCTTGGTCAAATACTTAAGCTCCTATTTTAAAATAACTGTTGCAAGGCAAACGTTTTTCCCATACAAATAACTATGACCGATTTTCTCGAAAAAGTCTAAAGATCTCCACATTGGACGAATTTTTTTCGGATTGTACTTTGTAGAAAATAAATTTAAAAATAAATGAATCGATTTTTGTACCCGTTACTAGTAAAAGGGTATACTAGATTCGTCGGAAAGTATGTGACAGGCAGAAGGAAGAGTTTCCGACCCCATAAAGTATATATATTCTTGATCAGGATCACTAGCCGAGTCGATCTAGCCATGTCCGTCTGTCCGTCTGTCCGTCTGTCTGTCCGTCCGGATGAACGCTGAGATCTCGGAAACTATAAGAGCTAAGCTATTGAGATTTGGCATGCAGCTTCTTACGCAGCGCAAGTTTGCCACGCCCACTCTAACGCCCATAACGCTTAAATCTGTCTACCGTCGGTAGGTGGCGCATTTCAATCTCGCTTTGTTGCTTGGTCCCTTTGCTCCCATTAGCTGAGTAACGATGTCTCTGATAGTCGAAGCACTCGACTACAGCGTTCTTCCTTGTTCAATGTCAAACTGATATGGTTTCATATCAATTTGTAATTATACCCGTTACTCTTAGAGTAAAAGGCCGCCCACAAACCGCCCACAAACTTCAAAAAATCGTAAATATGAACGCGGATATATCGAAAACTATCGAAGACAGAGAATTGGAATTCCAGATTTAGATTTCGTACGCAGCGCAAGTTTGTTACGCGAATATGCCACGCCCACTCTAACGCCCATAAGCCGACCAAACCTGTGGCCCACAATTTCCATGCTAGAAAAAAAATTAAGCTGAAATGTAGTAGTCACGTCAATACCTAATAATTGACCCAAAAAAAATTTGCCACGCGCACTCTAACGCCCATAACGCATAAATCTGTCTTCCGCCTACATAGCCATATATTGAGACCGCGGGTAGGTGGCGCTTTTCAATCTCGCTTTGCTGCTTGCATATCTCCATATTCCTTTTGTCCCTATAGGTGAGTAACGGGTATCTGATAGTCGAGGTACTCGATTATAGCGTTCTTTCTTGTTTTTCATATCAGATTGATATGTTCGTAATATAAATATTAACCAGTTTCTATTTTACTTTTTTGGTTCTTTTATAAAAATGTACATTAAAAAAAAATTTGATTAAATTATTTATTTTTAATATATTTCGGACTTAGCAATGTATTGCCGTTTACCCTGACCTCAGTCCACTCAGGGCTAAAGCAGCGCAAGGGAGTCCTTCTCCTGTCCTCAATAGATGGCATGCAGGACATGTGTGTAGTCCAGCCGGCGAAAAGCCAAAAAAAACAAGATAGGAAGTTAGCTTCGGCAAGCCGAAGATTGTATACCCTTGCAGTTATAAGAAGTAATCAATGTTAGTAACACCATGTTACATTTTTAAGGATTGTTGCTAGCTTCAGTGATATTTGTGTAAAATTAAATTCGTAATGGTGAAAAGTTAAAATATTCTATATCCCAGAGTAAAAGAAAATACGATCAAAATCAACAAAGCAAAATTTTTAAAAAAATAATTATTTCAATATTTCTCTGAACGTTTCTTTGACACAGAAGAAGAAGAGTTTTAATAAAATGAAATTCAAAGTTCAGAACTAATTAAAAAATAATATTTTCCAGCGTAGGAGGTTATATGTTAAAAAACACCTGAGCTATAATTTGTTTCATATTATTTTCCCACCAGTTTTCCGATCGTCCCAATGGCAGCTGTATGGTATAGTCGTCCGATTTTGATCAAATTAAATTCAAGATTTAGAACTAATTAAAAAATTTTATTTCCAAGCGTAGGAGGTTACATTTAAAAAAACACCTAAGCTATTTTCCCACCAATTTTCCAATCGCTCCTATGGCAGCTATATGAAATAGTCGTCCGATTTTGATCAAATTAAATTCGAAATTCAGAACTAATTAAAAAATGTTATTTGCAAGCTTAGGAGGGTTTATGTTGAAAAACACCAATGATATAATTTCTTAAAATTTTTTTTCAATTATTCCTATGGGAGCTATAAGATATAGTTGTCCGATCCGGCTGGTTTCGACTTATATACTACCTGCAAAAGAAAGAAGACTTTTGGGAAAGTTTCAGACCGATAGCTTTAAGACTGAGAGAACAGTTTGCGTAGAAACGGACGGACAGACGGACATGGCTAGATCGACTCGTTTAGTGATGCTGATCAAGCATATATATACTTATGGGGTCGGAAACGCCTCCTTCGCTGCGCTGCAAACTTCTGACTGAAATCATAATACCTCCTGCTGCGGCTTAAAAAGAGATATGTGAAAATTGAGAGGACAACATCAAACGGATATTGTTTCTTTTTTTCTCTGTGTAGTGGCAAATCATCCTTCTAAATATATTTTTCTTGAACGATATTTTCTATGTATTGTGTCTAAAATAAAATAGAAAATGCATCTAAGATCACAAATATTTAAACCCTTAAATTAAATAAAAATCTGTTGAAGGAAACAAGGGTTAAAAAACCGAACAGCGTATAGTTTCCGCTTCAAATATCAAACAGAAAAAGGGTTAAAATGTTTAAATTCTTGTGACAGCCAGAGTGATTTTCCAAAGGAAAATTTTCGGTGGTGTGGATAGATTCGACGTAGATGGGCATAACGTGCAGCAAAATCAATATTGAAATCAATATAAAAAACTGTACCCAGCAGCAGTTGTTTGTCACCCTCAGAGTAAAAAAATACACCCCCCAATATAAATACATACATACAAGTGCCACCGTTAGCATGTGTGTGTGCGCGGTAGAATGTAAATTCAATTTCCAAAACTATAAGCTTCAAAGAACATTTTAATTGTACATTTACAAATTTTACAACAATTAGTCTAGGCACGAGACGGTGGTGCCAAAAAAATTGTGTTTTCCAGAGCTTCCTTGCACTATTATTCGTATTACTTACCTGAAAAAATGAATAAATACGTTTCTAAAAGAGGTGTTTTGCTGAAATTCACTGTGGACAGCAGTACATGTAGTGACGAAGTAGCCTCAAACTTAAAATCCGACCGAAAAAATTGTTACATCGAGCTAAAGGTATTTTTATCCTCTTCAAATTTTGTCTTCAATGTAAGAAAAGAAACTTTAAAAATTTGAGTTGAAATTTTAATGTATTCTTTATTAAAAAAATTAAATTAATACATTGTACTTTGGAAAGAATGTAACAGGTAGAAAGAGGCGTATGTAGTATATATATTCTCGATAATGGTCGATCTAGCCATAACTCTGTGATCTCGAAATTATGGAATGTTTTGAAAACAGGCAAAAGAGTACATATTCTTTTTTGTATGCTTGAGTTGAGACTTGACTTGTAGATTCTACTAGTGGTTTGTATACCATGTTATTTGTAGCCACATTTTTGGGACTTTACTCTACATTCTATTTTATTTATTTATTATATATTGTCCATATCTATCGGCATTTTAAGAGTGGTCTGAAGCGGTTCGTTGGCTAATAAGTTAAATTGGTTGCCTGAGTAACGGGTCAACGATGGTCTTTCTTTCTTTTCCTGCATAACTGAATTTTAAAATATATTATTTAAAAAACAAACTATCAATTTGACCAAGACTAGTACCCTAAAAAAGATAGCAGACGACACCAAAAAACACTCGTCAAAACGCCAAATACGTAAGTACATGCATAATGTAGCGTACGCACACATACTCGCCAACCCACTGGTGTGTGTGCGCACACACACACATTTTGAGGGGCACTGGGGATGCTTCTGTTTCATCACTTTGGATGATCTCGTTTTTTATGTACCTTTGTGTATGTATGTACACATAACTAAGTTTTTTGTTTTCGCTTTTTTAATTTTTACTTAGGGTGGTGACGGTGGTGTTCCGACTGCACAAGCAGGCGGAAGGTGGCGGAGAGGGCCCATTCCGCCCGCTTCTGTTAGTCCCAAATCCTGTACCCAGAACCCAGAACCCAGAACCCAGGTCCC